AAAAAAAAAAAAAGAAAAAAAAAAAAAAATGAAAACAAAACTTACAAAATGCAAATAATCACTTAAACAGAAATATTACTGTTTATATTGAATTTTAAAAATAATATTTCAGATTAGCATTGTATGACACACTTTCAGAATTTAAAGTATGCTTCCTGTTTTGTTAATGTTATTACTCCCACTTATTTTCTCAACCTTGAGTTTTCAAAATTACTTCTTTTATTCTCTATATTCAAGTCCTCCAAATAATTAAGGATAGGGAATTTCTGGGAGAGAATTGTTATTTTTTTATTCTTAATATATGAGTTCCTGAGCAGACTTATTCTCTGATTGACCAATAAAAGCTTGCCTTATAATACATTTAGAGTGTGAATTAGACCGCCTAGGTAGCAGACAAGAACAAAAGTGGCTTCATCTGCCTCAGAGTTTCTTTGTCTTGCTTACCAAGTATCTGGAGCAGATGTTCCCTACTGATGGTGATTGGCCACTTTACAATGTCAGGCTGAAGTCTCTGGGATTGGCTAATCTATTCCTTCATGTTGACAGGATGAAGACCCAGGTTTAGCCTTTTTATCTGCACTTTAGACAGGATAAAAAGAAAGCTCAAAAGGTGAAAGCTTTGCTAACTGACACTTACTTCCTTTTAAGGAGCTTATTTGGAAAAAGCCATATTATAACTATTTTAGAATTTTCAAGCTTGTCTTTCTATCTTCAAAGGCCATCTATCAAATGCTGTTTTTACTTACAAATATTGGTGCCTCCAGCCAATATATCTTATCTTACTAGAAGTCATATTATTTATTTGAAAAATCACCAACTTCAAAAATTAGAGAATAAAATTTCACTTTAACAATCTATTCTCTTGAAGATTTTTTAATTTTAAGTTCATATGCCGGAGGTGCCAAAATATGTATACACATTACAAGAGATGGTATCTATGTATTATATGTTATATTGTGTACATACTTTGAGCACCTCTATAATTACAGAAGTTAAATGTGATTTGCACTTGACTTGTATTCATCTTTTGTTATTGCTATATATTAAGTGCTACAATTTTAATACAATTTTTCCTTTGTCAAAATGTGTATACATTTTTTACATTTATATAATTTATCTAATCTTAGAGATCTTGTAAGGCCCTAAGATAATAAATATTAATTCATGATCATACTTGGATTCAAAGCCATTATAACGAATATATATATATGTATGTTATGTTATTTCTTAAGAAGAATCAATGAAAATATACACTTTTTTGCATTTTCTGTATATCTAGTTAGCCATTTACTTGGGTCCTTATAGTAAGTACATGTGAAGTGGCCTTGCATCCATTCAAAGTAGGTTAGTAAAAGTTAAGGATGTATTTTATAACCCTAAAAACACCCACTAAAATAAAACAAAATGTAGTTAATCAGTCTGAAAGGGGCATAAAATAGAATCATAAAATATACTCATTTTTTTTAAATGCAGGAAAAGATGAAAAATTGAACAAAGCATGGCTAAGGCAAAACAAAAAGCAACATGGTAGATTTAAACATAATCAATCATATGTACAAAATAAATATGAAGTAAACACACCAATTGAAAGGTAAAAATTGTCCAATAGAATAAAAAAGCAAGAGTTAACTATAGGATTTCTAGAAAAAGCTCACTTCAAATACAAGAAAAAGTGAGTAGAAGGTGTCAGGACAAAGTAACACTAAATACAAAATACTTTAAGTGGTTATATTACCATTAGACCAAGTAGACTAGAAAGCAAAGAATATTACCAGGAAAAACAACGATCATTTATTAATGATAAAATGTTCAATTCAATAAGAGAATATTTCTAAATGTTTATGTACTTAATCTAGACTGAAAATACAGTAAAGTTGATAGATCTGTAATGAGAAGTAAACACATCTAAATTTACTATTGGAGATCAACATCTGTCAATAATTGATTGAATATGTAAAAATAAGAACAGCAAAAGTGGATACTAGAACCCTCTACCAACCAACTTAATCTAAATGATGTGTAGAGAAAACACAAGAAAACAATAACAGCATAAGCCAATAGTTCTCACCCTTCCTAATGCCGCGACCCTTTACTACAGTTCCTCATGTTGTGGTGACCCCCTACCATAAAATTATTTTCCTTGTTGTAGCAACATTAGGAAGGTTGAGAACCACTGGCATAGACACTTCTGACAAGTGCATATGAAACATACCATGAAAACCACATTCTGGACCTTGAATTAAGGACATTAGAATCTTAGATAAAAATTGAAATTGATTAAAATTAAAACCCACTAAGCTTCTGTATTGGAAAACAAGAAAGGCTAAAAATTAAAGACCCTCAGTTTATATCTTTAGAGACTAGAAAAAGAAGCACAGGTGAGATTCAAAGTAAGAAAATGAAAGGAATTATCAGGCTGGGTGTGGTGGCTCACGCCTGTAATCCCAGCACTTGGGAGGCCAAGACAGGTGAATTCCCTGAGTTTACCAGTTCCAGACTAGCCTGAGTCAGAGCAATACCCTGTCTCTAAAAATAACCAGGCGTTGTGGCGGGCTCTGCTACTCTGGAGGCTGAGGCAAAAGAATTGCTAAAGCCCAAGAATTTAAGGTTGCTGTGAGCTTTGATACTCTGAGACACTATGACAAAATGAGACTCCATCTCAAAAAAAAAAAAAAGGAATTATGAAAATAGAAATCAATGAAATAGAACCTACAAAAATAACAGAAAAATCAATGAAATATAAAACTTGTTCTTTGAGAAATTCAGTGCGATAAATAATTCTCTAGCCACTGTGATCAGTAAAGAAAAAAGATAAGACAAATTACTACTATCAAGAAAATTATCAATATCACACAACAACTACAGATTTTACAGATATTACAACAACAACAAAAAATTGTTATTAACAATTCTATGCCAATACATTTGACAACTTAGATGAAATAGACAAACTTCTTTAAATATACAGACAACTAGAACTCACTCAAAAAGTAAACAGATAACCTCATTGGCCTTGTATCTATAAATCCATCTCACAAACAAAACCCTCAGTCGGATGGCTTCAGTTGTTCTTTCAAACATTTAAGGAGGATATAATACAAAGTTTACACCAACTATTATGGAACAATAGAAAGAAGAGACTATCTGTGGGGCCAGCACTACTCTAAAACTAAAAGAAATAAGTTTTGGGTGGCACCTGTGGCTCAAAGGAGTAGGGCGCCAGCCCCATATACCAGAGGTGGTGGGTTGGAACCTGGTCCTGGTAAAAAAAAAAAAAAAGAAAGAAGTTTTAAACTCCTTTAAGTAAGTAAAATGGAGCATGATTTCTGTTTCAAATGCTGAGAGTATGTTTAGTTTTATTAAAAAAAACTACCAAACTGTGTTCCAAAGTGATTGTACCATTTTGCATTCCCACCAGCAACCAATGAGAGTTCTTGTTGCTCCATACTCTTGGCAGCATTTGATATTGTCAGTGTGTTTTATTACTTAGTATTGCAGATTGAAATCTAGAAAACAAGATATGAAAGCTAAGAGTATTTTGAAATATAATCCCTTGTCACCTCCATTTTATCTCATCTCTAAAAGAGAAAAAGTGTTTTATAAAAAGAAATAAAAACAACTAAGAAAAGTCTTATTCTGTACTTCTCCAAGGAATTGTCACCTTTGCTATATGTAGACTTATAACTTGATGTCCATTTGAATATACAAATAATCCTTACCTTTTGCAGCTATTCCTGATGTAAAATTACACCCATGTGGCCCAGATGAAATTGAAATGGGAGGGGACTGTGTCCGTAAGTAGTACATTTTATTTTTAAATTATGTGTTTGTTAACTAGTAATTTCAACAGGTATTTATATTCTATGGTTTTAGTTATTGAATTATATTAATATTTGACATAGACATAGTCTTGTGGATATCAAAAATAAAAACAAATTTATTGTTCTTAAAAAATAGTGCTGGAGTTGGCAGATGTACAGAGAGTTAGTATGTGTATACTATGTATATTGGTAGAATCTTTCATGAGAAAATCCGGCAATTTATATCAGCATTCTTAAAAGTCTACGTTTATTTGCACCTGGAAATTCTGCTTTCAAAAATATATCTTAAAGAAGTAGTTAAAGAAGGATGCAAGAATAATATTTACTATAGAATTTTTCTAATCTGGAAAAAAAAGTGCAAATACCCAATAACTTCTGATTGATTCAATACGCATGATATATAAATAATGACAAAATATTTTGCAAACACCTTTAAAATGTAGGAATATATTCATTGACATGAGTTTATCTTCATGGCATGTAGTAGCTAAAAAAGCAGATTGTACTGTATAATCTCTTCTTTTTAAGGAATGATTGCATTTGTACCAAGTAAGTCTTGAAAGATGAACATTATTAAGGTGGTCAAAGTTTTATCTTCCTTTCAACGTGTATATTCTGTTCTCTACATTTTTTATGTTTTAATTTAATTTAAAATATTAAGAAAACTCCCTTAAGATAAATAATTCAAAATAAATAGTCTAAGTGATAAAATGTATGTCATCTACCTATAAGACTGAGAGAAATTAAAATTATTTATTGAACCACTGACCTTTTCATGAGAACTGTTAGCCAAATCTGATATTCTAAAATGAAAGAGAAACTGTTAAAATATTTAATTAAAGTGGTTTATATGGTAAAATAAACTATTTTGTCATAAAGTAAATCAGAATTGGTCATATAATGTTCAGCTACTGTGTCTAAAAATATGCTTTGTCTTTTAAAAAACTTTTTATAATAATATTTAAAATAAGTTGCTCTGAGTTGAGTTTTTCATGCCCTATTCTAATTGCAAGTGGATTTTTCTAGACCCCTTCTTTAATATTCATAATAAAATAAAAAATATGAATTAATTCCTATTCAGATTGTCCCAAAGGGTATTTCAATTAGATTGTCCCAAAGGGTATTTCAATTAGATTGTCTCAAAGGGTATTAATTCATCTTTTTTATGCATTCTATTTTATTATGAACCTTTTTCTGTTGACCTTAACCCACAATTTTTGAATTCAACTATTGCTACCACAATTGTACAGCAGTATTTTCCCAGTTAATTTCCCCATTCCGAATAGTATTAAATAGCTGAAATTTGTTATTTATTCAAGTGATTTTGCTAAAATATATACACATCATAAAGAAAATCCATGCCCTATATGAGAATAGCCAAATAATATTTGAATTGACAAAGTGATGTACCATGGAGTACCACTCAGCCATAAAAAAGATGAATTAATACCTTTTGTGATGAATCTGGATGGAACTGGGGATGTTATCCTAAATGAAGTATCTCAAGAATGAAAAAACAAACACCACATGCACTCACACTACATTGGAACTAACTGATGAGCACACATGTTCACAGAGGGAAGTAAAATTCAGTGCAAAGTAAGCAGGGGTGGGGAGGAAAAAAGAGAGGGGAAAAATCCTACCTAATGGTACTATGAACACTATTTGGGTGACAGGCATGGCCATATCTGGGGTGCAGGCATTACAAAAGCAATCAATGTAATGTCAAACATTTATACCTCCTGAGTATTATGAAATTAAAAAAATAAAATGAAGTAAAAACCTAGACATATATTTTCCCTACAGAAGAGATCTGAAGGTCTTAGAATTTTTAAAAATCTACATGATAGGGCTGAAAGGCTGAAATTTCTCTGATTGTCAAAAAATTAATCTGTATATAATACAAAATTGTACATTTTAGAAAGTTGAAAATTTTATTTTTAAAATCTGTTACTCAAATATTTTTCTTTTTTCTAAAACAAAATGAAACAAAACTTATTTAGAAACTTTCCAGCTCCCCAGATTTAATTTTTCAAATGACCTGAATTAAGAACTTTAAAATCTTTCTATGAGTTCCTAGAGAAAACTTCAAAGATTTTTGACCTCAGAAAAAAGAAAGGAATAAGACTGCTCTTTAACATTTGATGTATTTCACTAAGACAGTATTGTGACCTCTGCAGTGACTAGCTTCTCCAGCCCTGAGAAGTGATTACTTTAACTGTATGATAAAACTAGAAGCAGAAAATAGGAAGTCCTTTGCTTTTACAGTTGTGACTAGTTTTCCTTACAACAAAAAATGCAATTTGCTAAACCTTAGTTTTATTTGTTTCTTCCATCTTTTGAAAGAATAATTGCTTAAAAAATATTAAAAAAAAACTTTAAAAAAGGTAAGTTACCTTTATTTTCAAAGGCTGGTATACGACATGCGTTAATACACCCTTGCTGAGCTGACAAGTTGATTGGCTGTCAATACTTGTGTGATTATGGGTCACCATGTGATGTGCTATTTTTTTGATTGCTATAAACAATCATTTTTTCTTTTGCTTTTTCTTAGGATAAATCCTGGAGCTATAGTCTTTGAGCATTTTTTCATTGACCGTTCTCCATTCTTTAAGATTCCCAGTAAAATTTGTGCATTTTCTCCCATCAGGTCAGCTGTCTGCCTCCTTGCCACCTTCACCTTTAGGAAGGCCAGAGGTCACAGTGGAGTTGATTGAGTCCAGGCTTTTCTGTAGATGTACTTTTGATGTTTTCCCTACAAACAACTCAGTGGGATTTCTCATAGCTTGGTCTAGACTTTCTTCCCAAGAAATCAAAGAGGAACTGAAACAAGAGACCACAGTTCAGGCATTCTCGCTCTTAGAACTTGACGGCATAAATCTCAGACTTGGAGATAGGGTATGTTCAAAAACATTTGAGTTTTCTATTCTTGTCACGAATGTATTGATTTTTAAACATACCTTTTTTTATTATACCCTAAAAGTAGATTTTGTCCCCATAATATAAAGCATTAAAGTTCTTGTTTTTTTCCCTTGGCAACTGTGTTAATTCTAATAAACTAGATGAATCAGTAATCTTAGTGACTCTCTATGCATATCTTATTTTAGTGATTTGCTATTATTGATGAATCCTTATAAATATATACTTCATTCTTATTTTAAAATGATGAACTTATTTCTAGAAAACATAATTTTGAATAATGATAGCTTTATCCACTCTTGACTACATCTTGACAATGAATCCTACTACACTTTAATTTATGTTGAGATTTGAGTAATATTTTACAATGATAGAATTTTTCTCAAATTTCAAGCAAGTTTTTAAGTTATTTAGTTCTTTCATTTTCTCATGCACTATTATTAAAATTAAGAACTGAAAGATGATAATTTACACATTTACACATTTTTTTCTCTGAAATTGTATTACTAAATTATTATTTGTTAACTGTATTTGTAGATATTCTGTAGTGCTTCTGTCTTTTTCTTGGAGAAACCACACATACAAAGTTTAGCCATCGAAAGCCAAGAATTTTTTGCAGGCATTAAGGTAAGTAGCCTTGGGGATGAATCAGAAAGGTAATTCCTCTGAAATTATGTTTCCCATCACAGGCTTCATCACACACTAACTCAGAATGTTGCGGTCCATGAGTTGCTATTTTTAAGGAATAATCCCAATAATTTTAATGCATGACAAAGTTTGAGGATCCCTGTTAATGAACAGAATTTGGGATATACTTGCATTTCTTTATGAGAATAAAACAAAAGCTCTCTTCCTACAATTTATTCTACCATGTTACTAAAAGTTAGTGTGTTGATATTTAGTTAGAATGGATTTTACAAAACAGGTAGCAGTCAAAGTAGTAAACCCTCTAACTGGAGCAGGAGTGACATATAGCTTTGAGAATTTTATTTATTTTTAATTTCAAAATATTAAGGGAGTACAAATATTTTTGTTATGTACATAACTTTTGCAATACTTTAGTCAGGGCTATAAGTGTCCTTGTCACCTGCATAGTGTTCATGGTACCTGTATGGTAGTTTTTATCTTTCCCCTCCTTCCTCTTTCTGTCTTTGTGATTTCCAGTTATGTTTGCTTCTTTCTGTGCCCATCAATTAGTTACAAATTGTTAGACAGTACATGTGTTATTTTCCTGTTCTTGAGGTAATGGCCTCCAATTCCATCCAAATTGTTGCAAAAGATATTAATTCTTTTTATGGCTAAGTGGTACTCCATGGTATACACATACCAGAGCTCTGAGTTTTATGGACTGCAATGATTGAGCCAGCTAAACGAGGCAATGCATTTTGTTGCTTGCAGCACTGGGATTCAAGAATCAATGAGCTGTTCCAGCAAATGAGCAAAGGTGATAGGAAACTCAGGAGTGGTGGAAGAAGATGGGGGAATATCACAAAGTCCAGGCAGGCCAGCGCTGCACACCCATGGATCAGAGTTTGACCTGAATCATTCCTAGTTAAAAGATGAGGTGGGATCATTGATAGATTGTGAGACTAAGACACAGACCAGGATAAACCTTGGCCCTTAATAAAGTCCATGTATGTACCACAGTGAACAGGGAAGGAGTAGGAAGAGTGAACCACGTGATCAGAGTAGCACAAGCACAGTGTGGGGGAAGCATAGGTCAAAAGCTGTGGGAACACAGGAACTTTTACTCTCCTTTGGTAACCACTCAGCAAACTATGTCAGTAGCCAATGTTTAGCCCCCACATACTATTTCTAAATAGGCTTACGGGGAGAATATTCAGTACTAAGAAACACCAGTTCTGAGAGGTAGCCAAGACTTGAGGCTGCATACAAATATCTCTGCCTCAAAAAAGGATGGACCTTGGAATATGGGCAGTCCCATGTTATAGTCGTTGCTCAGAAGCTGAGAAATAAGCTGAGATATTTCATATAATAACAATCATTTGATTAAAATATGTAAATTTCTAATTGAGATGGTGAATATTAATCCCTAAGAATAACCAGACTCTTAGAAGAAAATAGGAATCATTCTTTCTTCTCCAGCCTCCAGTGCCATCACAGAACCAGGATAACAAAGGCAGCATGTGTAGGGAGCCAGACTGGGTCTAACCTCAGAGCAGCTCATTGTAATCCTCTCTGCTTTGCCTATACTTTTATAGGTGTGGTTTTAATTGGCCTTATTTAGTTAAAAAATTTCCAGTGCTTTATAGCTGGACATAGTGACACACACCCAGAGTCCTAGCTACTCAGGAGGCTGAGGCAGGAGGATCCCTTGAGCTCAGAAGTTTGAGAGGCAGTGAGCTATGATCAGGCCACTGCACTCCAGCCTGGGCAATAGACTAAGTCTCTATTTCTAAAATAAAATAAAAAATAAAACAAAATATAGTAAAATAAAATATAAAAAATTCTAGTACTTATTACCAGCTCATTTAGCAAAAGATGAACTGTTGAGAAAATGCTTATTCAAAAATATGCCTGAGAAATAAATTCTATTTTGACATAACTTCTCTATGTATTTTCTTATACCAGCTGCAGCCTGAATTGAGCACCATATCAGAAGATGGGAAAGAATACCAGTTAAGGATAGAGAGCACAGTTCCTATTGTTTGTCCTGAATTTAGTGAGTTTGATCAAGAATGCAAAATCTCATTAAAGCTGAAAACTGTTGATAAAGGTAATATACCAATTTCATTTAATTAAATATTAGATTGCAAACAATAACTAATGCTTTTTTTTCCTCCAGAAAAAGTCATTGGAGTGTAGTCATATGATAAATTATGTGGCATGTTTACATCAAATATAGCTCAAACATATTACTAATACTAGGCCAAATTAATTTTTTCCAAAGAAATTCACATTTGTTCTTCTTTGCCTCAAAGCATAAAGAAAAAAAAATAGGGAAAAATCTCTTCTTCATTATCACCTTTCTCCTATTTTTTTTTTTTTTTTTTTTTGTCCTCTTCCCACTTATATTTTTCCTTGCTGTGTTCTCAGAGATTGAAGGACAAACTTCTCTTTATGATTTTCCAAATTGTCTCCAGTGAGGGAGTCCCGATAAGCTAGCCTAACATTTCAAGCTTTTGAAACACAGATTTCACAATGCATTCATCATACTTCTCTCCCTACTCAAAGTTTATGTTCGGATTTTTTTGTCTTAAAATTCTTCTATATGAATTAATTATGCAGATGTCCTGAGGCATGGCCACGTACGTATCATTGTCATAGGTCTTACAGAGAGAGCAGAAAGTCTCCACAGAACAAGATAGAACATGAGAAGATGAACCATACAAATAGTGATTAGGTTGATGAGTTATTTTTTTATTCCTAAGCCCCTGATGTCAAGATCCAAGCTGATAAGAGATATGTAATTTAACACACTCCCTTTAAGAGAGCTTATAATTCTGCTCACATACCAGATACCTTTTTACTACAAAACATGACATTTTGTTTAGTAACTATACCAAACATAAGGTACCTAGGTCTTTATGTCTTTATTATACCTAATTAAATCAGAGAAACAGAGGATAAAAAATCCAGGAGAGGCTGGGTGCAGTGGCACCCACCTATAATCCTAGCACTCTGGAAGGCCAACGCCTGAGGATCACTTGAGGTCAGGAGTTCTGACACCAACCTGAGCAAAAGCAAGACCCCACTTTTACTAAAAAAGAGAAAAATTAGCCAGGCATTGTGGTGGGTATTTGTAGTCCCAGCTACTTGGGAGGCTGAGGAGCATTGCTTGAACCCAGGAGTTTGAAGTTGCTGTGAAGTAGGCTGACATGGTGGTACTGGATGGCCTGGGCAACAAAGTGAGACACTTTCAAAAAAAAAGAAAAAAGGCAAGGAGAGAGTCTTATATGAATGATGCCAAAAGACTTAGATAAGGAAATGGAAAAATTAAGAGAGGTGATCATAAGATATTTCATGATAAACGGGTTTAGATAAGATTTCAGGAGCTCTATCAGCAACATTATATTTTGAATTAAAGCCCAGAAATAGGAAATGAAATTATATGTTCTCCCTCAGTCTATTTAACACAAGTTTCCCTTGAGCTACCTCTGAAAAGAGTATTATGCAAATAATACTACAGTTACGGTTGATGGGGAGAAGAGGAAAAGGATGATGTCACCGATATTTTTCAGAATGGTGTGGGTAAAGATTTCCTTCAGTCACAAGAATACTTTAAATGTGTTTGTATATTTTCAAATCTTTCAGTAAGCCAAGCGTTGATATAATAATATAAAAATGCGTAAATACGAGGCCAGACAATTAAGTCCACGAACTCATCCTAGAAGAAGTGCTACATCCCTCATTGCTGAATCTCATTGTGGTCATCCTCAAACTACTCCCCTTGGCCATCTGGTAACCATAGTGATACTCAGCATTGAGGGATGTAGCCCTTTTGCCTAGGATGTGTTTGTGAATGTAATTGTCAGTCCTCCTATATGCCTATATTTTGGAAGTTTGCATGTTTTTATTCTCTGTCAGTTAAAAATTGTTTCCTTTTTTTCTGGAGAAAAAAAATTGGATTTCATTCTGTGTATTCTCCATCTTGTCTTATTTAAGTATACAAAGGCTATCTGGAAAGTATCCAGCCATTGTTAATACTATTTTGTATATTATATGGCTGGATACTTTTTGGACAACTCTCATATTTCCATTAATCTCTACTTTCATAGAAAGCAAGTTGGGTATTTTTATATAGACTATGTTGCTTATTCATAGACTTAAAGAGAACAACATTTGGCCCTCATACCATACACTTGGGAAAATGATGTTGTTGGCTATATCTGAGGCAGAAATAATATTCATACCTTAGGGAGGTGGTTAAAAGTTTGTTATTTTCTATGTACATATAAAGTATATCTTTCTGGAAAAAATGCATAAAAAACTTCTTTCAATAATTTTTCTTTTATTGTTTTTATTAAATCATAGCTGTGTACATTAATACAGTCGTGGGGTATAGTGTGCTGTTTTTATATACAATTTAAAATATTTTAATCCAACTGGTTAACATAGCCTTCATGTCATTTTCTTAGTTATTGTGTTAGGACAATATTATTTTTGTTCTTTTGTTTTAGGAGATTAAAAGATTAAAAGTCAATGACCACCCTCTTCTAGCCTGAAAGTTTTCAGCAGAGAGATCTGTAGTCATTCTAATATTCTTCCCCTTGTAGGTTATGGTTTTCCTACATCTAGCTGCTTTCAGAATGTTCTCTTTCATATTAACTTTAGTGGAGTTAATTATGATGTGCCTGGGGGATGTCTTATTTGGGTTGAGTCATACTGGGGTTCTGAAACTGTCTGCTATCTGAATTTCAGAATCTCCTGGCATGTCTGGAAAGTTCTCTTTCATTATTTCATGAAGAAGAGCTTCTGCGTTTTGTGAAGTAACTTCGTCACCTTCAGGATTCCTATAAAGCGAATATTAGTTTTCTTCGAATTATCCCAGAGCTCTCTGAGGGAATGATCCATTTTTTCTCTCCATTTCTGTTCCTCTTTGAGTGCTTGGGCATGTTCAAAAGCTTTGTCTTAAATGTCAGAGATCCTTTCTTCTACCTGCTCCATTCTGTTAGTGAGGAATTCTACCATATTTTTCAGATATTTGGGGGCTTCAAACTCTTGCCTCAATGTGTCAAAATTTTTGGTCATTTCATCTTTAAATCTTTGAATTCTTGAGACATCTTTTGAATAATTCCTTAAAATTCTAGTTCCCTTCTTTCCTTCATTCTGTTGATCTTATTTGCTATCCAGACTCTGAACTCAATTTCTGACATCTCAACCATCAGTTTATGGATAGGATCTTCAGTTGCATCTGCCATGTCTTTCCTTGGGGGGTGGGGGTTTGATCTACTCTGGTTATTCATGTTACTGGAGTTTTTCCACTGATTCTATCCCATGCTGAATTTACACCATTTGGCTAGGTGTGCAGATAAGGAGAAGTTGGGTTGGGAGCTCCAAGAGTAGTGATTAACTAGCTCATGGCCCAAAGGCTGGAATGGTGTCTGTATCGTTTCTCCTAGAGCTTTGCCAAGGACATGTACAGTGCTACGGCCTGAGAAACTGGGGGCCTGCTTGGCGTTGTGGGGGTGTCTCTGTCTTGTTTTCAGCTGGTCTCTGTTCTGCCCTAGTAAATCAGTTACTCTAGGTTGAATTCTCAGTTGTGAAGAAATACTAGCAATTAAGTCACCCTGCCCCCCACAGGCAACAATTGGGAAAGGAAAATCACACCTTCCCACAGCCACACACCCAGGTAGTACTTTGGATAGTCCCTCAGATGATTGGCCCAATCCAAGAGGTCCAAATTAATTGTCCCAGTCAGCACTGGTCTCAGGTGGGGGAGTTCAAAAGATCTCTGGCAACTAGACAGCAGGGATCTGCTGGCAGCTCAGGTATGACTCACTCCAGTGCTCTATGCGGTCAGAAGGACCAACCCAGCAAATAAACTAGTCTGGGAAGGTTGATGCCTCCTTCCCCACATTGCACCTCTGTCATACCCAATCACTGGCAACCCCACAGGGCTGTGACCAAGTTCCCCTCAATGATAAGATGCCCCAGGGGTTTGCGCCTGCCTGAGTCAGAGGGAGATCTATGTCTCTTCAGCCAGGCTGCTGTTCTTGGCCACTATCTGGCAGAGAGTGGTGAGACCTGACAACCTCGAGTGCTTAATGGAGGCTGGGGCAGTTCACTCAGTTCCAGCCCCACCCCTGATTGATGTTGCTGGCAGAACAGCATGACCTTGCAGAGTTTGTTTCTGTCCTGGCTATTCCCCTGCAGATCAGACCCAGTCTTAGCTGCAGTTTGTATGGGGGCAGACATGGTTAGAGCTCCCTCTCAGCTGTCAGTTCTAGCCTCTGCCTGCCTGCCTTTATCTCAGCTATGATCCCCTGAGGTCTGGGTGCATCTTAGGCTCAGTAAAGCAGTCTTCTGGCTCAGCCCTGCCCTGGGAGTCTGCCGGCTCTGCATGCCTATATTACAGTCTATCTCAGATCCGTTCCAGCAGTGGCTGCCACCGGAGAAGATGGGCCGAATAGGCTTCCTCTGGTTGCCCAGAGAGACAGGGTGTGTCTGTCCAGAAAAGCCTTGGGGGTGTGAGTGTTATTGTTTCCGCTGTTGCTGCTGATGCCCTTTGCCTCTAAGTGCCCCCACTCCAGTGTGGTTTCCCCCTCAACTGACCATCCTCTCATAGCTCTTGGGCCACAGGGCTGGGGGTGCTGGGAGCATGCAGCTCTGGCAGTTCTTGGGCTGCTGGGCAGGGGTGCTGGGAGAGGGGATAACCTCCCAGGGAGCGAGCAGCTCCAGTAGTTCTTGGGCTGCTGAGCCAGGGGGACCAGGAGTGGGGATCACAGCCTAGGGAGCAAGCAGCTCTAGCAGTTCTCAGGTATCGGGCTGGGGCAACCAGGAGATGGGATTGTGTCTGGGAAGCAAGCGGCTCTAGCAGTTCTCCAGCTGCAGGGCCAGGGACAGAGAGCTTGGTTCCACAGCGATGGGGGACACTGCTCCTGGGCCTCCCCTCACTGTCTCTGCAGGCAAGGGGTGAAGGGTGGATTGGAAGTTCAAAATGACAGTGAAAACGTTAGTTCTATTTTTCTGCCTGTCAAGAGTGTTTGGAATCTCAGCAGGGTCCCTCTAGGGGAGTAGACCCCACTTCCTGTAGCTCTCACATGTGGGGTGAGATAATAGGTCTTCAGTTCACCACTCGCCTGTAGACAACTTACAGGAGCAGAGGAAGAGAAAACAAACAGAAAAACACAACTTTCTTGGGGGAAGAGACGGACACTTTTCCTTTGGGATGTATTATGTACCTGTAGATTGCTTTCTTGGAGTTGTAACTTGCCTCAGCAGAGGTGTCCTGCAGATATCACTCTTCTCTCTCAGCTGGGCTCACAGTCTTTGACTTGATTGGGTATATTCTGAACATTATCCTTCCCTCTGGGCAGGAGCTTCTGTCAGAGGCTGGCACCAGTCAGCCATCTTGCCCCTCTCCCCCGTTTCAATAATTTTAAACTTAGTGTAGTATTACTATATCTGATGAACGTAATTTTGTATCTAAAAATGTGTGTAGGAGAAAAGAAGATAGAAAATTTTAGTAATATCTTTCTTTCTCTTTGATTCTTGGAAGGACTTTGAAATCATTAATTGGATATGAAAGCATACTTCCTTTGTGGTTAGTTTTGAGGGGAATTTGTTCTTTTTGTTTAGTTAAACAAATCCTAAGGTTTCTATTTCTCTGTCATCATTTCATTTCCAAATTATTTTTTTTTATTCTTTATTCTATAGGTGAGGAGTATCTCAAGATTCTGAATATATTGGGACATTTGGGTAGTAAAAGGAAGCAATTTATTACTAATGTGAGATCACCTTCATTTTCTACTTTTTAAAGCCATTGCTATATTATTCAGCAATGGATGGAACATGAATACATGCCATTAGAAATATTGCAGAAGTATCTGGGCCCAAGACACAATTGTTAGGCCAAAAAAAATTATATTTCTTAGTGCTAGAAATATAATTTTGTATATTTTTTTTTACAAAAACAAGGATCAATTTTATTCATTGCTTTTGAATGTTATTCAGATATATATAAATTTGTAATCTTATAAAAATAGAAATATGTATATCTGTACATATGTTTATATTGAAGCTAATTAATTTTTTGTAAAAATCAGGTAGATTCAATAGTTGTGGTTTAATTTAGACAAAAAATGCAACCATATTCTATATATATATTTTTTGAGACAGAGCCTTGCTCTGTTGCCCAAGTTAGAGTGCAGTAGTATGATCATAACTACCTACAATTTCAAATTCCTGTATTCAAGTGATCCTCCTGTCTCAGCCTCCCAAATAACTGGGACTGTAAATGCATGCCACTGCATTTAGCTTACATTTTACTTTTTGTAGCGACAAGGTCCCACTATATTACCCACATTAGTCTTGAACTCTAGGCCTCAAACGATCCTCTCACATCAGCTTCCCAAAGTGCTGGGATTATAGATGTAATCCAACATGCCCTGCTGCAACCATATATTTTAAGAAAGAGAAAATGATTTAAGAATAACTTTTTAATTCAGTATCTCACAGTAATCAAGTTATTACATGCTTGATTAGTATATTCCCTTAGGAAAATTTTCAACATTTTTTTTCATTAAAACAGGCGAACAACACCTGGGCTTAAATTTGGCCCTCTCTTCTTGTCATGTGGACTTTCACCAGACATCATCCTGTGCAAATGGAACCTGCAGCCACACTGTGGTGCACTACACTGCTGTAGCAGATTTTTCTCAAGATGGAGACAGAGTCACAGACATTGTAGTGCAGCCTATAGCCAATGAGGATTTCCTGTGGAACAGCTATACACCAGACAGTGTCCAGGTTGACAAGATACACAAACGTCTTTGTAATTTAAGCTTCAAAAAATGGATGTATTTTATCACTAGTTCCTATAAACTTTTCATTTAAAAATGATTTGATAAATTATTTTAGCTTTTTAAAAGATTCACTTCTTAATAACTATGATAATAGTTGAATATTTATTCAAATTACTAAGCAATTTATTGTATATTATTTAATAATTAATGGTAATATTTACCAAAAATATCTTTGCTTTTAAGATCAGAGTAAAGGATGTCCCAACTGCTTACTGCTATTCATTTACTGACCCACATATAATTACATTTGATGGCAGGTAATTTCCTAAAAGTTTTTCTTTTAGTAGTTTTGGGGTTATTTTGCTTTTGTTACTTTATTTTAAACAGCATTTTATTTTATAATTTCTTAGTCTGGTTAATAAAAATTAGGAAGAAAAGGCATGTATACTGATTAACTGGCTTGTTTCAAGATACTAGTTTATTTGCATAGAACTTTTTTGACTTAAAATTTAGTCCCAATGAAGAAAAAATATGAACTGTTGGAAGGTAGAACTTGTAAAATAAAGATTGTCACAAAGGCAGACAATCATTTTTACTTAATCATTTATTTATTTTTAATAATGATTAAAATATTTAATCTAGAGATATTTATTAAGTGCATTTCTATAACATAATAAAAATATTTAAGGCTTAGGCAAAATGATTACACTGAAACATTAGAATTATTTTAAAAATGAATGACTCCTAATATTTGAAAAGAATACTCAGGGGGATGACTATAATAACCATCGTGAATATCTGGATCTTTGCCTCTGGAGTTGAAGATAAAATGAGAGAAATAACCAAAAAGTAATATGAGCTATCCTATTATTAATATCTGTCTAGAAAGATACTGTTTCAGTTATACTGTTCTGGGGGAATTCATGATTCTAAGATGTACTTCAGGAAAATGATGAGAAGACCTCACTGTGTAGTTAAAATTTTCTTTTGATACAAGGTAGTTGATTTTTCTTAATAAGAGCTTGTACTGTGGTTATTGTTAGTAAAATATTCAATGTAAGTGAATAGAAACTTTTTAATAAAAAATTATACTCCAATTCTTTGACCAGGTATTAAAAATTTGGAGGAACTGACCCCACATACAAGAATCCTTTGTGGTTAAAGCTAAAGGCTCAGAAGATTGGTAGAAACCCCCAGGAAAGCATAGTGACGAGATTGCTACAGTAATTTAATAACACAATAATTTAACAAGATTAACTACGTGATGAGTCCAGTTCTGTGTATGGGGATATGGCAGTGAACAAAATAGCTGACCTTTCGAAGAGGTGAAAAGAAATATTAATACACTCAATAAATAAAATATATAGTGTGTCTAAAGAAATTCCCTGTTGTGAAGTAAATTAAATCAGAGGTGGAAAGGGAAGGCTGAAAGTAGGGGTTGCAATTTATATTAAAATAGCATGGTAATGGAAAGCCATTAATTGAGGGTGACTGTGGACAAGTACTTGAAGAAGGTGAGAGAGACAGCATGTGCATACGTATATGGGGAGACCACCACACAGCAAGCCCACCCTGCTCAAGGAGCCACACGACTGACTGCAGTAGTGAAAGGGAGAAAATAGCAGTGGGTGGGACTGAGGCGTGTATGGCTACTTTCTTTCATTCAGCGCTTAGGGTACATAAAGCTATTGGGACTCTAGATTTCACATGCTAACATCTATCTGTATCTATGTATCTTCAATGTCTATGAATAACTTCAATACACCTTTTGTATTTATAACACACTGTTGTGATATTTTACACGAATTTTTAATGCAGTTGCTTTGGTTTATGATAGGGTATATGATAATTTCAAGACTGGAACGTTTGTGCTTTATAAGAGTATGTCACGTGATTTTGAGGTCCACGTACGTCAGTGGGACTGTGGAAGCTTTCAATATCCTGTGTCATGTAACTGCGGGTTTGTCGCCCACGAAGAAGGTGATAAGGTCACTTTCGATATGTGTAGTGGTCAGCTACGTGAATCACAACCATATTTATTTGTAAAGAGCCAAGATGTAAGCAGTAACATCAAGATAACTGAATCTTACTTAGGAAGAAAAGTCACAGTACGTACAATTCTTTACTATAAAAAGTATTTTTCCTTTTTTTTATTTGGATAAGCTTCTATTTATCTGTATTAAAGTGGGAGCTATCATTTTTCAAAATAAATTTGTTGAAGAAAATAGCATTTATTTTATTTTATATTTCTTTGAGACAGAGTCTCATTTTGTCATCCTTAGTAGAGTGCCATGGCATCATAGCTCACAACCTGAAACTCTTGGGCTCAAGCAATTCTCTTGCCTGGGCCTCCTAAGTAGCTGAGATGACAGACACTCACCAGAATGCCTGGCCATTTTTAGAGACGAGGTCTCGCTCTGGCTTAGGCTGGTCTGGAACCTGTGAGCTCGGACAATCCACCTGCCTCAGCTCCCAGAGTACTAAGATTACTGGTCTGAGCCACCGTGCCCGCCCAGGAAACAGCATTTAAACTATGATCTTAGAATGAGTACACTTTTGTTTTCCTATCACATACAAATAGGCACAACAACATGGTTGGTTACAACTGTCAAATCTTAACTGCCTTATCCAAAATGTCTCTATGAAACCTTTGTGGATTATTTACAAACATTATTTTTGACAGTGTCTAATAAATGGTATGTTAAAGATGACAGATATAATTAAGAATAAATTTTCAGGAATAATTAATCAACTTTTGAAATGAACAGTATAGCACAACTTCAGAAATGGGCCAGTAGATAAGTGGAAGAGGATATAAAATTGACTAACAGACCCAGGATTACATATTCACTAACTTCGTAAAGATGATATTTCATCCATGTGAGGTAACTATTTGTACTGTAAAGACATGGTCATCTTCCTTTCATCTTTCAAAACAGTAAATTCCATGTAAATAAAATTTAAATTAAAAGAACTCAAAATTGTAAGGGTATGAATTATATGAGTTCCATCCTTAAAAATCAAAAGGCAAATTAAAAATTAGCACAGTATTTGCTACATCTTAAACATGCAATCAATGTAGAAAATGCTTTTCTACATCACTAATGTATAATTAGCACATCAATAAAAATGAGCAAATAATATAAAAGACATTTCACAAAAGAAATAAAACTGATAAAATGTCCAAAAGTACAAATAATTAACAAACATACAAAATATTTAACTTCATTAGTAAGCAAATACTTAAGTCAATTAATACAGATTACATATGTCTCATACAATATGGGCAAGAGTATAGATGGTAGAAGTAGCTAGTCTTTCCAGAGAATATAGGTGTCATTTATAAACTGAACCTATGTGTGTGTATGTGTGTGTTATTTTATAAAGAAATCTAACATTTGAAAATTTATTGCAGTAAAATTATTAATGATGTGCATAGCCCCCATGATGTTTATTATATGTCTCCTGAAAATAAAGAAGGTGATCAATTAGTGATCAATAAAAGGACTTAACCAAAACTCTAAAGAGTATAATGATGGCATATAAAAGAATACTTTGTGTTCATAAAAATACGGACTATATGTATATTGAAGTAAAAATATGCATGAAATATAAGAGGTTTTTGATGATTTTGCACCAAGATTTTAACATCAGTTCCCTGTGTTTCATTTGAATATTAGGTTTGTTTGCTTACAAAATACATTGTTGTAAAAAGGAAAAAGAAGAGCTATTTTTAAATTTTAAAAAAATTAAAAGGGGAAAAAGAACCAGAAGAGCAAACACAGTGGCGTATCTTCACTGGTGTTTAGAAGAAAAAGCTCCTCCATTTATACCCCACAGCCCAGGGGTGGTCTGAGAGAGGTGACGCCCCTGTGATGGAGACAGGTTATTCACAGTTAGATGACGCAGATTGTTAGAGTCTCTCAACAAACAAACTCCCCTTCCTGCTGCCAGCTCCCAGAGCAACCTTTTGGTTATAATTTGGCTTCTGATTCTATTTGCCTAATGATGCTATTTAGCCTCAGGAATATGTATTCCTCTGGAGTTATATTTATCTATGTAAATTACTTACTTGGCAGTCTAATTCTATTAAATAATTACAGTCAAAAAGGTTACCCAGCAAACATCACCCTCAAAATTTACAATTGTTTTAATTGTATAAAACATCTCACTTAAGTTTATTTTTTTAATTGTATAAATTTCTGGGGTACAGGTTTAATTTTATCACATGAGTAAGTTGTATAATGATGAGGTTGGGGCTTTTAGGGTATCCTCACACATACAACAAGGACCGTAGAGTGATTTCTCTCATCCACCCCCTCCCACCTACTGCTCTTCCTAGTCTGTAGTGTCTGTCATTATTCCACATTCTCCTTCCACATGGGCACACTGCTTAGCACCCACTTACACGTGATAACATGTAGTATTGTTTCTGTGTCTGAATTGTTTCACTTAAGATAGCCTTCAGTTCCATCCATGTTGCTCTAAATGACATGATTTCGTTCTATTTCATGGCTGAATAGTATTTCACTGTGTATTACATACATTTTCTTTAATTCAATCATTCATTGATGGACACTTTGGTTAGTTCCATATCTTTGCTATTGTGAACTGTGCTACCATAAACATATCAGTGCAGGTGTCTTTCTGATAGAATTATTTCTTTTCCTGTGGCTACCTACTCAGTAGTGAGATTACTGGATCAGATAGTAGTTCTATTTTTGGTTCTTTGGTAAATAGCCATACTGTTTTCCATAGAGGTTGTACTAATTTACATTTCTGCAAAGATTGTATACGTGTTCTCTTTTTTGCATAGCCTCACCAACATTTGCTGTTTTTTTGTCTTTTTAATAATAGCCATTTTAGCTGGGTTAAGACCTCTCATTGCAGTTTTGACTTTCAATTTCCTGATGGTTAGTAATGTTGAACATTTTTTGATATGGCTGTTGGCCATTTGTATGTTTTCTTTTGAAAGATTCCTATAATATCTATGTCCACATTTTGGTGGAATTGTTTGTGGGTTTTTTAATGAGTTGTTCAAATTCCTTGTAAATTCTGAATATCGGGCCCCTGGAGATGCATAGTTTGCAAATATTTTCTCCCATTCTGCAAGTTGTCTGTTCGTTCTTGATCTATTCTGCCATGTAGATGCTTTTTGTGTAATTCTTATTTTTCTATTTATGTTTTTGTTGCCTATTCATTTGGGATCTTAGTCAAGAATTCTTTGCCTAGATCAGGGTCCAGAAGAATTTTCCCTAGGTTTTATTCCAGTATTTTTATAGTTTCAGGTCTTACATTTTAATCCATTCTTGAGTTTATATTTGTATATGGCATGAGATTGGAGTTCAGTTTCATTCTTCTGCTATTCAATTTCCTACTGAATTTCTTGGCTATTCACTTTTCACAGTGCCATTTTTTGAAAAGGGTGTGATTTCCCAGTTTTTGTTCTTATTGACTTTGTAAAAGGTTAGTTGGCTGCAAATATGTGACTTGACTTCTGAGTTTTCTACTCTGGCCCATTGATCTATATGTCTATTTTTAGAACAGTACCATACTATTCACTTTACTTTAAATTATTTAAGTAAAGATATTTTAAATATCTTTCATTTTATTTTAAACATATCTCAATAAAAATATCAATGTGGTAATTAAATTTCCGGTTAGCAAATATAAAACCCAATTTTTTAGGACATAAAACATTAGAAAAAAATTTGTAGTTTAGAGAAAATTAATATTTTACTGTCTTTTTATGTTGAAGGAATTTTTTTTATTTTTTAAATTATAATTTTTTCTTAACCCAAATTGAATATTACTTCAATACCTGTTATTTTTGTATTTCAGTTCTGGTTTTCTTCTGGAGCATTTGTCCGTGCTGATCTTAGTGAATGGGGCATGAGTTTAACAATCAGAGCCCCTAGTTTAGATTACAGAAACACTTTGGGACTTTGTGGCACCTTTGATGAAAATCCAGAAAATGATTTCCATGATAAGAACGGGATCAAAATTGGTCAGAATTTTAATAGTCGTCTTGCTTTTATTAATGAATGGCGGTAAGAAAGTATTTTTCATTTGCGGTTGTATTAATATTAGACTTAAATGGGTAGTGACTCAGTACCTTTTTGAAACCTATTCTTAGGAAAACTGTTCACGTACAAATTACTATCCTTTTCTGTTTCCCATTGGGAAGAATTTTACCAGGAAAAAGCATGTTTGACACACCACCAGTTTCTCTGCAGTCACCCGGAAAACAATCCTACTGCAGCTGCTCATCGGACAGCGTTTTACTGGATCCACCTTCCAATCATCTGGACGATGTTTTCCCATCAGAAATTGCTTCAGGTTGCAAAGACTTCAAACATTTCCAATTCTCTTCTTTGATACCAGAACTAGACGTCAGCTCTGAATATATTAATTCCAACAGGTTTGTCAGAGGAATAAACAGACATGCGTCTGGGGAAGAGAGTAATTTGAATTTCTTTCCACAAGAACAAAAGCGTGTAAACCTAACCAACCTGGACTTAAATTTCCAAACTCATGCTGGGAACAAAAAACAAGATGCTCTGAAATATTTGGACAAGGAGAAACACACACAGGATCAGGGCAGCCGCAGCAAGGAGACGAGGTGGAATCAACAAAACAGACGGAAACGGCAGAACTTGGATGAGTTTCTTCCATTGTTTGCTTTCCATAGTCTCAGCCAAACCGACTTAGACGAGTTTACTTACTTCTTCCCTGAGGACCATGCCGAGGATGTCCACCAAGAGGTTGTCCCTTCGTGGCCCACACCCTCTGGCCTCACAGAGTACGACACGTTGGCACGCTGCCAGCAAACTTTAGCCAACTCCAGCATAGGAAGGCTCTGCCTCGCTTTCCTTGGAGGGAGACTAGACAGTGTCATAGACATGTGTGTGACGGATGTTCTATTAAAAGACGATCTTAGCTGGGCAGAAGCAGGTGTGGCCCTTTTAGAAAATGAATGTGAAAAAAGGGTTTTGGAAGAAGGGAAATATAGCAATGAAAAATACAACAAATCAATCGAAGACATTCTGTTAGCATTAAAGTGCCCCAGTGCGTGCAGTGGCAATGGGCAGTGTATGGAATGGGGGTGTGCCTGTTTTCCAGGCTTTGGTTCCTATGATTGCAGTGATGTATATGGTAAGTGACGATTTTCAAACTTCAGTATTGCAAATGATATTTGATTATGGCACAGTCTCTGTTCCTTTTTTACTTTCAGTATCTTTTTTTTTTTTCTTGAGACAGAGTTTCACTTTGTTGCCCTTGGTAGAATGCTGTGGCATCACAGCTCACAGCAACCTCAAACTCACAGAATCCTCTCCCCTCTGCCTCCCCAAGTAGCTGGGACTACAGGTGACTACCACAACACCCAGCTATTTTTAGAAACAGAGTCTCACTCTGGCTCAGGCTGGTCTAGAACTCCTGAGCTCAGGCAATCCACCATCCTTGGCCTCCCAGCACCTTCAGTATCCTAATAGGACGCATGCAGATTATATAGGGGGAAACCTCCAAGTTATATGAATTAAGACATTAATAAAGTTCTAACGGTATTTCGTCTCATCTCCTGAGGCGTAAGAGCTGAAGAATGTGTAACGGCCTATAAAGCCCAGGGGGTCTGGCCACAGTAAAACTCACCCTGCTGCTGTCACCCTGTCTTTCCATTCCAGCCACTTTGCTTTTGGTGTGGCTTCTTGAAAATGCCAGGTTCACTTTCACCTCAAGGCCTTTGCACACAACTGAGCCCTCTACCTGTAGAGAATAGTTGTTTACCTAGAACTCAAATTTAGTATTTTTAGAACAGTTGCATACCTGTGCCAATTTGTTACTCAATGGTGAGGTCTGTTGCTGACACTTAGACTAATACTGTAATTTCATGAAAAACTTATATATATTTTACATATTGTTATACAAGTAACTGAAACACTTTAATCACGTTCTCTTCCTGTTCTTTTTATATTTTCTTTTTTTGATGTATGGTTGGGACAACTATATTTGCTGCATTCACTGTGCCTTTAATATATTTTCAGTCTCTCCTATGGGGACAGAGGTAGCAGCAATTGTTATTATCGTTATTATTTTGTGGTGAGGTTTTCACTCTTGTAACTCTTCCTTTTGGTTAGGTATGAACCGTTCCTCTTGTCACCATGTCTTGTCCTTGATTGCACTCGAGTGCACAAAGATTCATTACCATTGCGTATTTTTTATGGAGACCATGTGCATTCTAGGCATGCCTTCTTATGTTTTCTTCACAGATCTGCGCTGCCTAATCTTTCAAAAAGTATTTTCTTCCCGATTGTTTCTTTGAATGAAGTTGCATCCAGTGTCTATTTGTTTCCTGAAAAATCACATATGAATTGCATGCTGCAATGTCAGTGATGTTGAAGAAAATTGCCAGAGGCCAAGGGCATATTCCCTGGGGACAGGATTATGTTCTCACACACTTTCGTGCCTCCACACCTGCTGTAGTAGCATTATAAAAATGGGTCACATCAGGCTTGTTATCTGTCACCTTCCTATCTTCATGCTGTGTGGAAAGCACTGTAACTACCTTTCTTGTCTTTGAAACATAACTTAGTAATGTCACGTAGAGAAGGCAAATCTTACTGTACCAGATGGAGAGTTTTGCACTGGTGCTGGCCTGAGTTCGAGAGGCCAATCCCTTTTATCACTGTGAACAGTAAGAACTGTAGTTATTTTCTCCTGAAGCAAGTCAAACGCCAGTGACTTTTTGGGCGATGGAGGTAAACTTTTGTCCATGGTAATATTTCTGCCAGGCTGATCCAAATGATAGTTTAGAAGCAGTCTTTTGTACCATCTCAGAGCCACTATTGTGATATCTCAGGAAGTTCTCTGCACTCCTTGCATATGGCTACTCCACAAAGTAGTAGTTTGTAGAAGAAACACAGAACAGATTCACTGCAATTTCATGCTTCCAGAGTGACAGACTTGACATGATTACAGTAAAGTGAGTTTATTTGTCACCATATTCCAAAGCTCTCAAACTCTACCAATCTTGTCATGCCATGTGAGAGCATCACGTGTTACAGAATCATTAAAACACAGACTTTTCAGTAGGAGTCACGTTCTGTGTTCTGAAAATGAAGCACAGTAGACAAGAAAATTCACTTCACTGAAAAGATTTTGGATTCTGTCTATATTTTGTGTACACAGCACAATTTAGAATAATTCCAATTAGTCCTAATATTTCTTCTTTTACATAATTGCCAGAATTTTGGATGAATATTTACTTATTAACTCTTTGACTAGATATAATTTCTGGTTTGTAAACTTGATAATTTCATCCACAGTTTCATTATCAAAACAAAATTGGAAAGCACCCAAAGGACTTTTTGATTTTCTTCCCGATCGTCCTTCTGGATGTGTCCTCATAATACAATATGAGCCAACTGTCATCTCCCCTGATCTGTTATGGACTGTGAGTTGCGTATCATGCGTGATGGCGCCATCACCTGAGCTGCCGGCTGCTCTGGTTTTCCAGCTGGGCGTCTTCTCCTGGGCTCCCTACTTTGCCTTTCTTCTTCTCTATCATCATCTTCTCCTTTTTCCTCTTCACTCTTTTCCTCAGAATAAGTAATAATTTCACATCCCATCTCTGCTACTTCTTCTTATTCATTATATGAACTAGTGAAAATTTCTTCATTTCTTCCAAAATCCAACACAATCTCTATCTCAGCTACTGACAGTTGTATTACTTCTTCGCCAGATTTGTTTCTGTATCAGGAGAAAAAAAGCAAGTCGTTGCTTGACATAAATAGATTTACAGAATAATCAGATATTCTGTATTTTCAGTCCTACATACCTTGATCTGCACCATACACTAATACACTGCTTACTAACTTCACTATGAAAAATGCTTAGACAAAAATAGAATATTGGCTTTTCTGGGAAAAGAGAACTCAGCTGGTCACTGCCAATAAGAAAAGTGTCGAGAACTGCTGATACAAGAGTCCTGACATGTGACAGTGTCATAGACGGGTGGGTGAGGGGCTAATGACAAAAGTCGTCAATGTTGAAACTGCAGCTCTCCACATAAACCAATACACGGCAAAATCACAGTGGGGGCAGTCCCTGACCCCCCTTTGGTATTCGACCGCTAAAACACTGTGTTTATTGTATTTTGCTAATTACACTAGTTTGCTTAAAACTTTCTCTAACCCCTGTATGTGTACCAATTAGTTTGTCTCAGTATGTTAGAGAAAGAAATTTTTAAAGTTGGTTTAGTTCTTTTAACCCAGTGGTTCTAAACCTGTGGGTCATGACCCCTTTGGGGGTCTTCTACATATCATATATTTACATTATGATTCATAACAGTAGCAAAATTACAGTTATGAAGTAGCAACAAAAATAATTTTCTGGTTGGGAGTCACCATAACATGAGGAACTGTATTAAAGGGTCGCAGCCTTAGGAAGGTTGAGAACCACTGTTTTAACCAGTGAACCAGTAACTCCTGGTTTCTTTCCCATCATTACCATCCCTTCTCCATCTACAGCATTTTTCATGTCAATTAATGCAAACTTTCTTCCCCTAAGTCCTCACATTAAAAACTTGTAGTCATTGTTGCCTGTTCTTTTCCTCTCATGCCTGAAATTTAATCCATTAGCAGCCATTGGCTCTAGCTTAAAACAGTCCATCTCTTTTCTTGCCACAACCTTAGTCCAAGCCACCATTATCCATTAACTTGGATTACCATAGATTTTTCTCAAAGTGTATTTTTTAATGCAGAAGCAGCTAAGGTGACCTGACTGAAATGTGAGTCAGATCATGTTCCTCTGTTTAAATATCTCATGTGGCCTCCATCTCTTCTAGAGTAAAATCTACAATCCCTCCCATGGCTGGGTAATCTGAGGTTTCCCCTCTCACTAATTCATCTTCCATCTCCCCTGCCCCAAGCTGGCAGCTCTTGAGTCATACAGCCTGGTTTGCTGTTCCACAAAGGACCCAGGCCTGTTCCTATCTCAGGACCTTTGCACTTACTGTTCCTTTTCACTGGACCAATTTCGTCTTTGTGACTAACTTTCTTCACTTCTCTCTTCAAAGGTCATATGATCAGGAAATCTAGCCATGAATATTCAAAATAAAGAAGTTTTACTCACACCATTACATAAGCATTATTTCCCTTATACAGTTCAAATCCTCTCCCCCCATATTTTTGAAAACACTTATGTAATACTTTATATTTGTTTTTTTCAGTTGTTATTTTTTATCCTGCTATTCAATTTACTTGAATATAAATTACATGAAGGCAGGGACATTGCTTTGGTCATTACTACATCCTCTGTACCCAAAATAACACCAGAGACATATAAAATGCTAAATAAGCATTTACTGAATGCAGGAATGTGTGAAGTGAACTAACACATGTTTTTCTTAACATTTTCATAAATATATTTAGGGTTCTGAATACACAGGACACGATTTTGTACCCTATTGCTAGTAAAATTAGATTCATTTATATTTATACACTTCAGATATCTATTTTAATAACCAGATCTTCCTGATAATAAATAACAAAATTTTGAAATTTTAATACATTGTCTTACTTAGTACAGTATTTGATTATGAAAATATTTTTCTTATCACCCATCTATACGGCACAAACCAAATGTCAAAACAAAATGTATTATAGTAGTAATTTCTTAATACTTGTCCTTAATTTATATATAATATTATTAAAACACTAAGGAAACCTATGTATTTAGACATTGGTGGTGTCTATAATGATATTTAGATTGGATTGTTGATAGATACATTGTTCAATACAAACATCAGACTACTCTTCAAAATTTCATGGTTTAATTAATGTAGTAAATAATATTTGGGGTATGTTTCAAAATGTTACTTTACATATGCTTTTAATTTGGGCCTTGAAAATAATTAAGTTTTTTTTCCTGAAATAATTAAAGTAAGTATTTCCAATTTGTTATGCTTTTTCCAAAGGCAAACCTCCTGAAATTACAGAACTTGAGAATGCAGGATTCTGTGACATTCAAAAATATAGTTGTATGATGGTAAGAGTATTTGGTAAAGGCTTCAAAGAATCACCTTCAATTAAATGTGAAGTTACTAAATTGCAGGTATGTTAATTATAGCACTAAGCAACAATAGAGATTATGAGATATTATAATTACTATTATCTTGGATTTATTTGTTCTATTGATTAGCAACATAATCCCAAAGGACGCTCTGTCCACAAAGAGCTAAACACAATAATGTTTCAGTTGCTTACCCTGAAAACTTTCGTACATGTTAACTTTATTAAAGTATTTTATATTATTTTTATTGAGCATTACCTTGCTAACTTCTGTCATTAAAAAAAACTAAGAAAATATCAAGACTGATGTGTGTAAGCTTCTGTGTTTCTTAAAATGTAAAAATGCACAGAATGGAGCAAGATATCCTTTAGCCAAGATATCCTATATGAACTGTGGGATACACAGATACAAATATTTCTCTTTTAGAAACTCAAAAGTGAGAACTAATTGTTCTCATTTTTTATATTTCCTTTAAATATCTCTCTCAGGATTTCAGGCTGGAAAATGCATACCCCACCCCCAAACTAGTGTTTTTCTTTCTTGAGGCCATAATAGCAAACACAATTGCTCAGTTTGAACATTAGTATATCAAAGTATGCCGTATTTTTGATGATTATTTATATAATCTTGCTTTTCTTTATTCACGTGGAATTTTTATTTTAAGGATAACTTTGAATTTAGAAAATATTTATGTGGATAAGCTGAAAACTTCAAATGGCAAATCATCTTTGAACATGTTTCTTAGTTTTTCTTTAAATTGGTGTAGCTAAATATGATTCTGAGACAGAATTTACAGGACAAAGCAACTTTTGTATAGGTTTTTATCAAATAGTTATGCACAACAAGTATATATATTTCAGGATTTTATGGGTAGGGCCTTTCTAAATAAGCCATGAAATATTTTAATTCTAATGAAATAAGATACTCAATAGAAAGATATAAGCATGATTTCAATGTCACTCAAGAGAGTAGACTTTATGCTGGCCTTGGCAGAACAAATAATACATCACACTATAATTAAGTGATTTTCCAGGAAAGAAATTTATAGATTTATATTCTTTTGGAAAGAACATCTTGTACTTACTTTCATGTATACACATATTATTTGTTTTGATTTACTCTCATATTACTACTCTCTTCCAAATGTCTGATAAGCAAAGTGTAAAATCTGGAATTCTCTACTAAACTATAGGCAGTTATAGCCAGAAAGAAATACACTCATTTGCCAAAACCAAGATTAGAAGGAATAGAGCTCCAATCTTGCCTAATACCAGGATTCACAGGTTTTTCTAGCCTTTGATTCATTCCTTGAGTAAAGCCTGTCTAATTGGACACTGTTTTTGAGTCCCCAGCTCTGCTAGAGTGGGGCCTGTGTGTGTTAGTTTTTGTGGAAGATACTTGCTTTCCCAATAAGCTAATGTCTTTTTCTAGCTTTCTTGCTATGTGTTCAGTCAACATGAGTGGATTTCTGTACATTTTTAACACTTGAATTTCAGTTTCCTTTAAAGGTTGAGTTCCTCTGATAAATATGGCTTAATGTTACCATCTTATCCATCAAACATGACCATAACACAATTATTGAAACCAGAAAATCCACCTTGATACATACTATTAGCTAATTTACAGGCCTTATTTAAATTCTGCTAGTTGTTCACCTGATGGTCCTCTTTCTGTGTCAGGATCCAAGTCAATCCATTTTGTTGCCATACAGAAATCCCTCAGGATTTCCCATTGCGTTAGTGATTTTTAAACATTTATTTTAGAATAATTTTCACCAATATTGGTAACTTCTTTGATTTGAATCTCCAAGAAATACACAATTCTTTGGAAGTAGTTTGCACCAAATTGAGATGTGTATGTCTTTTATTATTCTAAATAAAGTCGCTCTCAATATGACTTTTGTTTTCTTGTTATATATTACATTATAGTAGGTGCATATTTTAAAATTTATATTTTTATTATATGTATGTAATTTGCTAGCAAAATGTTTCCCCAATTTAACAGAGGTTAATTGCTTTCTCCTTATGCCTTCAGTATAATGGCAGTAAATGGATGCTTGGAGAACCTGTCTATGCTCAGGCAATTTTTCAAAATAACAGAGCTGTTGATTGCCACCTGCCCACTGATGTTCAGCAATTTGATACCATGGACCTGACGGGTGAAGAGCCAACTGGGAAATGGCAATTAAAGGTTAAAAACTAAAATGACATTTTCATACTTACAAAAAGATTTTATACATAAAATTTCTTAAGGAATTTATGAGGTTTCATTTAGAGCGAATTGTCTTATAGAACTACATCTTATAATCTCTCCAGGTATCTAATGATGGTTATAACTTTAGTAATCCAAAAATAATGACCATATATGATGGTGCTTGTCAGGTTTGTGGTCTCCATGAAAGTGACTTCTGTAGAATAAAGGTATGTATCTCTTCACTGATCGTCACATTTACGTCACAGTTATTTTCTTTTTCCATGTGGTTGACGTATAAATTATAGTTTTCCACCTTCCTATCAGAAGGGCTATTAGAGAAGGACTTCCTCAGGTTTATATAAGATAATCAAAACTGTTACTCTGTCTATAACTCTTATTGAAATGGGGAGGAAGAAGTTTCTATCTTTAACATTTCACGATGGCAGATTGTTTGTTTCTAAAAAAGAAAAGAAGGGGTCCAGGTTGAATGGTACGTTCCTTCACTCTTACATGCATTATTTTTTCAGGTCTAATAATGATTTTCCAGTAAGGTATCTCTTTAAGGTTACTTAGCCTTTTGGGGGGAGGGGAAGGTGGCAAAACGTATTTGGGTAGAATTTGTAAAATGTGTAAGGCTAGCTAGCACTTTTACAAGGAGATTTTTTTCTGGCAACTAAATACACTGGACCAGGCAATCACCCATTTGGATTACAGAACAATAACAAAGCCTGAGCTGAGTCCTCAGCGCCACACTCTCTTCATAATATTTGTCTAGCCTATTGGGCTTATTGACTGGGCTTGCTCACATGTGAATTACAGATTTACCAGACACCATGGATCTAATATCACTTGGATTTTCAAAACTGAGGAGCATACAAATAATAAAATTAAAAAGTATTATCTTCTAATTTTTGAGTCTCTTTTTCTTGAGATGCTCCATAGGATCATGATAATAGTAAGTTTTTAAAGGGGATGGGAAATTATAAAAAATAATAATTTTGTTTTTGAGAAAGTTGATTTTTATTTTCCCTCAAATATTTCATTTCTGCATACCCATATGTACTTTTAAAGCATGGTTTTCAAGTTTGTTTTATCCTTTGGGGGATATTTTGTTCTAATTTTTTGTCCAATATTCCAAATGCTACCAAAGGGGATTTTTGTAAAATGAGCAAAGTTTATATATCCTGAATAGGTCTTCTTCCTAAGTTAAATTACATTTAATGTTCTTTCTGTGTGTTTCAGCATCTCTTTAAACTCTTGTGTAATAACATACATTATCAAATGCGGATAATATGCCATTGTTCTGGTCTGGTTTTTCTGTGTTCACAGGACATAGTGGATGTTAGGGAACGACAGATAAGTGTAAACTAACATGATTTTATAGATTGTGTAGGGAAAAAAGTCAGTTTCTTTCCTTATAAATACAGTACTGCCAACATGATTTCAAAAGTAAAAAAGAGAAGATAATACAGGTTTTCTTCCTTGTATTTATAAGCTAAAAGGTATAATTTTATGCAGAGATACAACTTATATGTATTAACCTAGGTTTTCTGAATTGATCAATCTCATAAACATTTACATAAACAGATAATAACTTGTTTTCTAATATGCATTTGTGATTATAAGGTATAAAAATAATCAAAAGAGGTTTATAGTTTCATTGAATTATTAATACACATGTTGCTATCCTTTGATGTATAATTTTTTTTCTATACACTAACTATAGTTATATATTTTTGGTTATTTTCCTTTTTAAAAACTTCTATTAGGAAGATACTTGCATTATTGATGGACTCTGCTACAGTGAAGGGGATAAAAATTCAACCCGCTCTTGTTTGATCTGTAGACCCAAAATTTCAAAACTTACTTGGTCAGTTTTAGAAAGTAAGTTATTCTTTATAAATCCAAATATTTCCTATATAGGACATTGTCAAAGTGGTTTGAAGTCATCAGTCACATAAACGTGTTTAGGATGGATGGACTCTGTGTTTAATTTAGCATCTCTTCTAACCATGTAATTTACTTTTTTGGAGGAAATATAAGATGGGAAGATTTTATATATATATATAATACATATATATATATAAGTTATTTATACACACACAAAACTTCTATGATTATATTGCAACAGAGTATTGGATATTTATTTCAATATTTAATAAGGAAAGGAAATAGAATCATTAGTAGAAGAAAGGAGAATTGTGAATTCAGTTACACATAATTTCCCATTTTTATCCATATCTCTGTTTGGTTATGTCACAAGGCATTGTATCATTGAAGGATCCCAAAACCATGGGTTCATTACCTGTTAAATAAGGTGTGTGGACTTGACAATCTATAAAGTTCCTTGCAGTACTGCCATTCTGTGATATGATGAGTATAATATTGAGTACAGATAATTTGGGATAGTTTACCCCAAATTATAGTCATGCACCATATAACTGATTCCCTTTCCTGAGCACATCTATGTATGCTCACACATGGATGCCCATGTTCTCTTCCCTTATGGGGAGATCAGGCATTATTAGATACAACAGGGCACAATTATTCTCTGCCATTAATTTTATCTAAGGAGTCATAAAAGTTTGTATTTATTCAGTGCTTTGTAATATCATTATACATGTTATTGGATGTGCAAATTTCCTTACTGGGTTAGACCATTTGCCAGATGATTCATTACTTTGGTGCACGATTCATGTACTAGTGTGGAAAAACAAGGGAAATTTGAGAAAAAAATTAGTACAAGAGACAGGGAAGACATAATATAACTTCTGAATTGGTGTCTGTTTTTTAATAACTATGGTATGATTGATTTGTTATAGATTCATAGTGTTTAAAGATAAATGGTCATAAAAATATCATCTGTTTCCAATCCCTTGCCTGAAGGATGAGGAAATGAAGATCAATGAACTAGGGTCTTTATGTACAGATACCTGTATACAGAGAAGAACAGGAACCAGAACTTCGGTATCTTGGCATCAGCATTTTATCAATGCATGAAGAGTGTGTGTGCCCAGTAAAATATAATGAGCCTACTCATTCCATCTGTTAAGCCAGTGGGTAGGATGGTGGACAATCCAAAATATAACATGATTTTAAAAAGTCTTAAATTGTTTCGGGGGCATAAAGGGAATTCTATGTGTTCTCAGAAATATTCCCTTTTCTAGAGTGTGAGCTTGGCCACTACAAGCCCCTTTGAAGAAGAGAAGATGAGAATGATTAATGGCTCCTACTTATTATAACTGGGGAGGCAAGTACAACAAGGAATGTTCAGGGGAGCCCGAGCAGTTATGGGTAGTAAGGGAGTAACAGAAACAGAGGTGTGGAGGGAGAAAGTGAGGCTGAAAGGAACAGATTGCCAAGGAATGAGAGTGAGAGAGGAAGTACTGAGGTGGTCAACATCAAGAAGTAAGACAGAAGCTGTACCCTGCCTGGGCCGTGCACTTGTACAGGCGTTTGTAGATTTCATGCTGTGTTCAAAGTGCATTCACGGTCTCTTAGCAAAGCCTGAGGTCTCACTCCTGTCACTCCCTTTTACATTTTTTAAGAATAGAATTGAATTTATTCAGAATGTTAGAAGAAAAGAAAGGAAAGCAGTTAATAGAACTTCTAGCAAAGCTCAGTCTTTATCAAAATGCCTGCCTCGGTGGGAGCTCTCAGAGTCACACACCTTCCTTTTTCTGCACAAGTACAAAGTTGAGTGTTTTCTCTGTTACAGACAACCAACCGCCAGTGATTCAAACATTGCAAGACAAATTACAGACATTTTCTGGGGAAAACTTGGAATACCAGTTCATGGCCTTTGATCCAGAAGGTTCTGACGTCCATTTTACGTTGCACTCGGGTCCTGAGGGAGCAAGTGTTTCCTCTGCAGGACTTTTTATGTGGAAAACAGAGTCAGAAACTCCCCAGCAATTCACTCTACGCCTTAATGATGACTGTGGTGCTGAAACTAGAGTCATGATTGAGGTAATATTGGAGGACAAAAGTGTTACTTAATTCTTTAGCAAATTTAACAACTGTATTTAAAATTTAAAATCCAAGTTGTATTATTAATTATTAAGAGCAAGGGTGTCATTAAATATTGCATGGAAATTGAAACTGCCAAAACTTTATTCTTTGTTAGAATTTACAACCTCAGAGAGAGTCTCAAGCCCAGAAGCATTTAATCTAAATTACTAATTTCTACACTGTTTTATTCTGCCCTTAACTATGACAAGGATAAAGAATTCATTTAGTTCCCCCCCATGAAAGATCTGTGATTAATCTAAGCTTGATATTTTTACCCTTTTCCTTCAAATGAAAGAATCTCAAATGTTGAATTAAAAATCAAGATTATAAATATGACTTGAAGTAACTATTGACAGCTATAATTCTTTTCTTATTGGCTTTTCTTTTGGTTATATCAGTCATGAGCACATAATACTCATGAATGGATTTTGTGAAATTTATTCACTTGAAATTGAGGGCACACTTCACACAGAAGCAACATTATGAAAAGCATCTGTATTCTGTGCCGTGTTAGCACAGTGATTCAAGGGTTCATATGCTCCTGGATTTGTGGATAACCCAGGTGACTAACTGCTTCCCAATTTAATGATTTTTTTTCAGATATTCTGCTTGCATTATAGAAACTGATCATCTTACAATTTTTTTTTTGAAAAAATGTTATCCCTAGCATTCATACTGTGACTATGCTCTTGAGAGTGGGCATAACTGCCTTTTTAAACTATTTTTGAATATCATTCTATATTAAATGTGTTGTTAATATGTGTGATTTAGTTATAAGTTACCATACATGCATGACATTATTTTAGGGCTTAAACTAAACACAATTTTGTTGAAAAATAAAGCATTTACCTTTTTTTGTTTTTTGGTAGGTGACTGTGAAGTCTTGTGATTGCTTAAATGGTGGATCATGTGTGTCTGATATAAAATTTCCTCCAGGGAATGGAATGTACCTGTGTGTCTGCTTGCCTGGCTTCCAAGGCAGTCTTTGTGAAGTGGATGCCAGTGGGTGCCAATCAAACCCCTGTGGCCTTGGCAGATGTATTAGAGGTTTTCACAGTTATTCCTGTGATTGTCCACCTGAGCTCAAAGGTAAGATGCCATCCAACATGAACTTAATTAGAACATGAACCAATTAGAGAGGAAAGCTGCTTTAAACACTCAAGTATAGATTACTCGAGCAAATATAGGGTACTGAAAATTTTAATACACATTTTTAAAATTATAGTTAAAGTTATTACAAATATATGTTCTATCAATATCTCTTGTTTTGTTAATTGTCAGTTACTTAAATATAATATTGAAATTTGGCCAGTTTTTATAATTGTAATAGCAATGTAGGAACCTTCAAAGCAAATAAGCTACCTATATTTGGTAGGTAGACATATATTTAAATTTATTATTATTAAAATATAGTATGAAATAAGGACATTATGCCATGGAAATTACAAAAAAAATTATCACTCAAAAGAAATATTATTATTATTTTTCTTTTTTTTACTAAATGATATTTGTGCACATTAGTACTATCATGAGATACAGTGTGTTGTTTCCATATATAATTTGAAATACTTAGAAATATGGTATAGAGTTGAAATTAAAAGAAATGTTAGCATATTCACTAACTCATTAATTATCCTAAAATGTCTGATTCCAGAACTAAGTATAACTATCAACTTTTAATTTCCTGAGGCTTTTTAAAAACTCAAATACCAATATTTTTAACTAAATGTAAATATTAAGTAAGTAGATATGTGTCACTGATATTTTCTTGAAGATGCCTATTTTAACATTGCAGTAGAACTAAGCAGAACATTTATATGTCTTCTGATTTTTTTCAGCATTTTAAAACCAAAATTTTATCATTTGGTACTGTGCTGTAAACTGTATTTGAAAAAAATTCAAATGTTGATTGCTTCATGAATTTCATTCTGATAAGGGCTAGTATCCAGATGCAACTGTGAAGTCACTCATTTGAATACGTTATTAAGCATTTCAAAGGGCACCAACATATCTCAAAAATTTTTGAGGAAAGGCTGACTTTCCTAACACATCGTAAAATTTTCTTGAATTTTCAGAGTCAATTCAATGATTGGATTAAACAATTTGTCCTTAATCTATGCAGGAAATCATTCTTAATAATTTTTTTAAAAAAATCATTGCATCTTTAAGCAAAGTACAAATTACTTTTATAAAATGATAACTTCTGCCTTCCTTATGAATGGAATTCTTTTTTTTCCTTTTATTAAGTCATATACACATAGATCCTGAATACATTTGTGCATATGTGGGGTACAATGTGTTGTTTTTTATAGAATTTGGAGTGCTTACATCAAACTAATTAACATACCTTTCACCTCATTTACTTGATTATTGTGTTAAGACATTTATGTTCTATACTTGATAGATTTGACTTGTACCCTTTCAATATGCTCCATATGTGTGGTCCCACCGTTTACCCTCCCCCCCCTTCCCATTCCATTTCTCTACTTCATCCTGGGCTTTAGTTGTGATCTATCTTATATAAGAAAGTGTGAGTAAATATAAATTGGTTTCACAAAAGTACTGAATACATTGCATACTTTTTTCTTCAATATTAATGGAATTCTTATGTCATTTTATCTATAAGAAAAATCTTATATACTTGAAGGGTCTGGTTTAGTATTATATAAAAGCTAATTAATGACTTTCTATTTGATTACATAGTAAATTTTTTTAAAAACCATACTTTTTTCACCATAATGCATGATAGTTCTTTTGGAGTAAGGAAACTACACATAAAGAGTAGAAGTTACATAATGAGAAATCAAATGATGTCTTTCAAATTAAATTAATTTGAACTTGATCTATATTTTGTCTAGGCCAAAATTGCCAGGAAGATACTGATGAGTGTGAATCTAAGCCTTGCTTTGTAGGAGTGGAGTGCCTGAATACCTTTGGCTCCTATCACTGTGGTTCATGTCCAAAAGGATTTTATGGTGATGGAAAAATATGTCATGGTATATGTTCCTACTTTCTGCTATGAGATGTTTTTTGCTGCATTTAATTAATTAAAATCACACACTTCCTTTCTGTTTTTATGCACTTATTCATTCTATATGTATTAAGGATCACACAACTGAACTAGCTACAGAGAATGCAAAAATAAATAAAACATGTTCTTCAAATTAATAAGTTATTTGGAGTATATAATAGCAGGGAATATGTCTAGTCATCACATAGTACAATAAGGTGTTCTCTGTCTTTTGATAGAAGTGCCTGGAGGGACTAGTAGGAATACTACACAGAGATTTATGTCTACCTGGAAGAACAACAAAAAATGTTAAAATGGAAGTGTCTACATTATACTAGATATGTGAGAGCTGAATCTCATATATCAGATCAAGAGAGAGAAAGGCCCTCCAGGCAGAAGGAATAGCATGAGCTAAGGTACAGAGGCAAGTAACATCACAGCACTCTGTGGGCCTCATGAAGAGTTCACTGTGTCAGAGGAGCTGCTACAAGAACTGAAGCTGGAGAGGGAGCCAGCAGTGAGACCACTGAAAAGCCTGGAAAGTCCCTTAGAGTTTTAAAGTAAGAAAGAAACATGATAAAGGTTATATTTGAGGACTTTGTTTAAGTTATAGTGTGGACCACTATGGGTAAGGAACTGTGTAAGTCTGAAGGTAAAAAGATAAGACTGTAAGTGTGTGTCAAATATACAGAAAAAAAGCATAAAAATAGACCAACCTAAGATGAGGTGACAATGAAGAAAGAAATTTTAAAAAAAGGCAGGTTGATAGTACTTGGTCAGTGCTCGGAATTAATATGGTAGGCAAAGATATGGAGTTTGATTTTAGATAATATATGTGTCAAATGGGCATTTACATTGCTATGGACTAAACTTTGTCCGCCTACCCCAAATTCATATATTGAAGTCCCAACTCTCCAATTGTGACTGTATCTGGAGATTTGGAACAAGAATGTAATTAAGGTTAAATGAGGTCTTAAGGGTCGAACCCAGATCCAATAGAATTAGTGTCTTTATATGAGTAGGCCCAGATATCTCTCTCTCTCTCTCTCTCTCTCTCTCTCTCTGTGCCATGTGAGGACTTACCAAGAGAGTGGCCATCTGTAAGGTAGTAAGATAACCTTCACCAAAAACTGAATTCGCTGGGACCTTGATCTTGTACTTCTTAGTCTCTGGAATGGGAAAAAAATTAATTTTTTTTTTGCATTTTGTATTTTGTATTTTTTTTTCTTTGTATTTGGTACAGGAGCCCAGACTTACCAAAACACACATACAACATATAGAAAGAAGAAATTGTTTTGGAAGGGAATGATAACAATTTCAGTTTTGATAGATAAAAACTAGAATAACCATGTGGAGCTCGGGAAGGAGGGTTTGTTAAAGACAGAACTCTTAAGGTCATCAGTCAGAGCATGGAGTTGTCCAGAAAGAACACTTAGATTTAGAAGAAAGTGGATAAAAGGAATTGATGGACTTCAACATTTTACAAGATTAAACGAGAAAAATGTCATAGAATACAGTGTCGATGATTCATATCTTTGGCATAATTAAGTGATTAGGACCCTATTTTGATGAAAGAGATATATATGATGCACTATCACCTTGTGCTTCAAATTCAGGGGACTTCCCAGCCCTGGACGTCAGGCGTAACACCTGGAAGGATGGGAAGGGTAATTTCCTTCTGTTTCAGTGACTCACACTTTCCCCTCAGTATCCCGTTCCTAATAGTCACACCTTCCACATTTTGCACTGAAGTGATCTAAAATATTTCTATTCAAAAAAAAGGAGGCCCATTCTGTCAATAAAACCTTTGTCAAATGGCACTTAAGAGGGAAGTAAGTTGAATCAAATCCCACTGTACATGAGTGACTAATATGTTTCTTAACATTGTCAATCACTTGTGTATTGTGGGAAGATACCTCCTATTAATACAAAGGAATTGGTTGCTGGTGGCATTTACTTAATTTTATGGTGGGAACCAGAATTGATAAATATAAAAGTAAATAAAGCTGAGTTCATCTTCTTGAGGTTATTGGTAATGAGTGAGGGGAAAAAAAAACACATAAGAATTAATAGCATGAAGGCCAAAGTCCTGTGTGAGAAACCCAGATGGACGAAATCGGCTGGGTGGGTAAACGTTCCTGAAGAGAGGTGTATTAGCAAGGGTTGCTGTAACAGAATGTCACAGACTGGGTGGCTTAAACAACAGAAATTTATTTTCACACAGTTCTAAAGCCTAGAAGTTCAAGGTCCTAGGTGAGAACAGGGTTGGTTTCTGGAGAGACCTCTCTTCTGGCTTGCAGACAGCTGCCTCTCTGGGTCGGGCCTCTCTGTGTCCTCTCAGTGTCTCTTCCTCTTCTTATAAAGTCTCTAATCCTGGGGAGTTGGGGTGCTGCTCTTATGACTTCACGTAATCTTTATCACCTCCTTGAAGACTCCATCCCTAGATGCAATCACAGTTAGGGCCAGGACTTCAGTGTGTGAATTTGTTGTGTGTTGGAGAGAAGACACAAGTCGGTTCATACCAGGAAAGTTTGCTGAAGAGATGGCACTAAAGCTAGTTTTTTAATCTAATTTGCAGAGTCCAATCCAAGTGGCACTTGTATCGCATGTTATTATTCACAATGCTTTGGTTTTGTACCATTTTTACCCTGATTAGTTTGTCATGTACTTACAGTTGAAGCAGACTTTTTAAATGGATTTGCTACACAAACAGTGCTTCTCACAAGGTCTGATAAAAGTGTAATTAAGGAAGAGGATGATATGAATGCCAAACAGAGTGAGAGGCATGGTGAGCCAACAAACAGGAAAGCCTTTGGTAAGTAATAATCATAGTGAAAATTATGACAAGTGATACTTCCCATTTATTTCCCAGGAGATCAACACACTTATTCCTCAGATTTTTGTTTCTTAGAAAGATCATCTAAAGATCATATAATGCAGCAGTTCTCAACCTGTGGGTTGTGACCCCTTCTTAACAATGAAAATACATTGCAGCGTTAGGAAGTTTGAGAACCACTGCTATAAGGCAATTTAAAATAAATTTTATTTATATATAAGTTGTATAGATAAAATATTATTGACAAAATAAATTTTATCAGCAATTATATTTTCTTACTAATTTATTGAATCCTCTGGCTTATATTTTAGAAAAATATTTGCTTTGATTGTATGGCTTTCAAGTGCATTTTAGTATCTGGAAGGCAAATACACCTTTGTTATTCTTGTATTCTCTACTTTTTTCGATATCCCATATACATATTCTCATAGGAACACCAAAGTCATTACACTTCAAAAGAAAAAATTGTACTCTCCTGCTATTCATGCGCTAGCATATGCTCCCTCTTTCCTTTTTTCTATTGTAATTTTTATAATCAGAGGTTTCAGTTCTTCTTTACTTCTTTCTCCAATCCTAAAAACAAAAACCTCTCCTGAGGAGATGGTTCCCTTAAAGCAGTTTGAGGCTGGAAAGAGCAGTCCCTTGTAAGACAGAGCAGTTCCCTGGAAGATTGCTGGTCCAGGGCCCTTTGGTGTGTTAACACTAACTTGTACTTAACCTTTTTTCTCCATATTTATGTTTTGGGCTATATTTGGTGTGCTCTTCTTTCTCTATTAGTCTGAATTACTGTGCTTTTTGTTTTCAGATGTCCTCAAATTTTTCAAAAATCTTTTGCTTCCCTTGTTACCAACTATAATAAGGATTATTTGTCATTGTTTTTGGTTTGTTTTCTTCTGGTTTTGAGTTGATTTGGCTTGGCTTTCTCTGTTTTCATACTATAAAGTTTTGGGAAGCATTGTGCATAAAAGACTGTGTAAATCAAACCATAAATAAACACTGCTTCAATATGCCCATACTCTAATGTTTATTAGAGTTTTCATGCTAAAGAAATAAAAAGCATTATTAGAGAATAAAGTAACTTGGAAGGTAGAAATAAACTGTGGTTATGGTCTCCCCTTAAAAAAAAAATGACAACCAAAAATGTTTTAATTCCTAGTTGACCAAAGAAGAAAGATGGGGAGATAAAATCTCATTTTGTCATGTTGGTAAAATTATTAGAGCACAGTTCTTTGTCTGTCATGTAAAGTGGCACTTATACAGCTCACCAACTTTTATTTAGGCTTTAGCTCTTGTCTTCTTCCTTATAGGCAAAATTACTTCCTCATGCTCCTATGTTCCTGTAGGCTTCATTTCATAGTTGTCATAGCTGTCATTTTGTAGCGTCAGAGATTGTCATAATGAGTTGCTCACATAGATCTTTGCAATACTCTGAGTTGTTCAAGAACAACAGCCATGGTTTCCTTTGCTTTTAGGCTAATGTATTAATAAATATTTATTGGCTATTTCTAAATCATAATAAAATTATTAATTATTGTTCCTTACCTTTTATACTATTTAACATCATATGTTAACTTGTGCATCCAAATAGATCAAGCGATGTCATGGCATCTTATTACTGCAAGGTTCCTGGTATATGGTTAAACATGCTGTAGACACCAAGTGAAGGAATGAGTTACTTAACTACTAAATATTGTGGCTAGAACAGAATATTAATGAATGTTATTGATTAACATTTCTATTTCCTTTTTGGCTGTTTAGACATACATTTTCAGCCACCATTGACAGAGCACTCACCAACTGATACAGGCTTTACCCACAGACCTGCTACTATTGAGAAGTTCTTGAACACAACTGACATCTCCAGCTTGTCACTGAAATCAGTTACAACTCAAACGGATAATTCAAAGAAGGCTATTTCCCATCAGAAACCAGGTTTTGAACACGTGAATCGTAATCTCAGTGTAAATCTCAATCTGGATGAGATGGAAGTTCCTACGAAGAACAGTAGTTCTTTAAGCATTAACCCAAGTACCTCCCATGGTGAAGTGAAGGATGTTGTCCACAGCGCCATTCAAACAGAGACAGGAGGGTATAAGTATAAAACTTCCCCAGGTTACATACAGTATAAAGATGAGCATGCATCAGTGGTTACTGAAACAATCACTATTTTGCCAGAAAAGTTTGAATCAACCAAAATATCAGCTTGTTCTGAATCTCCTTGTTTCCTTGGAGTTTCCTGTGTACCAACCACAGAGGGTCACCCTTCAAATGTGGACGCTGCCCCTTTGGGTATTATGGAGATGGTATCAATTGCAGAGGTAGTATTACCCTCTTCAGAAGATACAAACAAAACTATCTAGTTCAAGTTTAAGAATTTAGAAGACATGAATTTCTATTTACTAGTATCTATCTATTTATTTTAAATAACAATCATAATGTTTAAGATAAGGACTAGAAACAAAAACCTCATAAAGAAGAATGAAGATAAATACATTCAGAAAAGAAATCAGATGATTGCTGCAACAAAATAGTGAGCAATAATAATAATAATGAAAAAAAGTAACATTTGCATCGTCAAATAAGAGAATGCCTATTATAGAATACTTTGACTCTGAGGTTCCATATGGAGTCATCAGTTAACTTCTTTTTCTTATATTTTTCTATTTACTAATATCTATTTATTTTACTGATTTCACTTATTTCCATTTATTTACTTTGTCATTTATGTATATTGTATTCTAATCACATTTTAAAAACACCAAAGTGAGTTTTCTGAGTCATTTTTTAAAATAATGTAATATCATAACTATCAAATATTTATTATAAATACATTTTAGTACCTACTGTGTTCCAGGGTCTGTAGGAACATTTTGTATCAATTGTGTCATATAATGCACGTGAACTCCACATGTTGGGGGTTATTTTTCCTACCTCACAGATGAGAAAGAAGAGTTTTGGAGGGCTGAATGATATTCCCACCATTTAGCAGCTAAGGAGATAAAATGAAGATGTGAATATAAGTCTGATTAACATGCTCTTCTGGGTTCCTTTCAGCTCACAGTGGGCACGTAGCACTCCAAATGACGGATTCGGACATACATGCTTCTTTGCATAAGCTTGGTTTCTCTGTAGTCCTTGATTAAAACAAGTTGCATATTATCTTAATTTTTTAAAGTGCTCTTTTTTTTGAAAAGTCGAAAATGTAGTTTACTGGAAGATATGTATCCTCACACAGAGCAATAGTAAAAATCCAGTCTAAAAGTTTCAATAAATGTGTAAATAACTTTAACAATATCTATAGGACGCTGAAGTTACTGCCTTGGATAATGGATAGATTGCATCCACTATTTTATGTAGGACATTCATTCTTCAGGCAGAAAAGCTGGACGACATCTAACAACCTGCTTCTTACATCCAAGGTTCAAACTCAGAGTAGAGTCAAGCAGATAGATTTCTTGCTAATGAGGATTTACAGTGTCATTCTTAGACTATGTTATATAAAAGACATACGTTTGAGAGAACGTGAAAAGATGAATTTTAAGACATCTTTATGGACACTTAGTCCCTAAAACTAAGCATTATATTATGAGGTTAAAAAAAAAAAGTATTCTTTCTATCTTTTCACAATTATTAGCATTGTTTTCTCTGATGCAAATTAAGTTTTTGGCACTGACAACATAGAAGCTCTTTTTGTATTATTGTTTTGTTATTGCTGTTTTGTTTGTGTTTTGGTTTGTTTGAATCCAAGCTTTAAAAAGAGAGCTATTGGCATATTCTAGTGTCCTTGGTATTATCTAGTTGAAAAAAATAAAAAAAAATCAACACCTACACATTTATAATAAACTCCTTATTAGTATTATTTATTTATTTATTAAATAAAACAACCTCATCATTTCCATTACCTCAGGAAGTGTTAATGCCAAATAGAATATATCAGGTAGTTAGAGAAGTCTCAAGAATACAAACTGTTAGCTTGTGATGTATTCTGGGCACCTTGCTTATTGGAATTCTGATTATCCCTGTCATTCACCAACATTTCAGATTACTATCTGAAATTTCATTGCCTTATGAAAAAGGACTGCAATTTCAAGTACATCTAGCAGCTATCTCCAGCATCAAGTTCTGCTCTGGAAGTAATACATGGGTACCTCGTTTTTAACCTATTAATTATTTTCCTCAGTCATTTTAAAAATAAAAGAAAAACAAAACAATAATATTTAATTGGTGAATATAGTGGTGGTTATTTAATAACAGTATCTAAACATTAAAATTTCAGGGAATTTTACTTTTATTATAATGGTCTATGTGATATATATATATATATTCTCAACAATTCAGACTTTTTTTCCTGGGTTTTTCAGCTATTTGTAGACACCCATGTGGAAAAAATGGGGAGTGTGTTGCCCCAAACATATGCAAGTGTAAACCTGGTTACATCGGTTCTAACTGCCAAACTGGTAAGTATATCATTCATTAGTTGGCATAAGGAATTTTATTTAGTAATTGATATGTCTAAAACCTGGGCTTTATTTTATACAGCTGTATGTCACCCTGATTGCAAAAACCATGGAAAATGTATTAAACCTAACATTTGTGAATGTCCTCCAGGACACGGTGGAGCAGCCTGTGATGAAGGTGATATAAAAGTCAACTACTAGGGCTAAACTATGATAATTTTCATTAAAATTATTTAAGAATATAACTCAGTTTTACTGTGTATATGCTAATACATATTTATTAATGCTGATTTAGTAGTCTAAGTTTTTTAATACTCATTAAAAATAATTTGAGGATTTAAAGAACTTAAATTTCTGAAATTGGAGATCCAAAGAGCAATAGTTTATTTGTTGTTAGTAAAATTATCTTTCAATTCTTTTTTTTTTCTTTTGAGATTTAGCTATAAGGTACCATATCTCTATTCAAGCAAAAGGCATTTACTTGTTGAATTATTTATCAAACATAGTTCCAAGGAGGTGTTAAATGTTGAATAATTAAAGTATAAGGTAATAAGAAAAATCTTTAAAAATGATTTTTAAAAATACATTCATAGCCATAAAATTTCATTGCTTTGGTTCTAGTTTTTGTTACGTAGAGAGTTATTAAATGGCATTTCTGAAGGTGGGTGATATTTTACAGAAATAAATTTGCTATTTTTAAAATACCATTTTAAGAGAATATACTTTCATCGATGGTACATAGCGTTATGAGTAAACTGACAGTCATAGTAAATGCTGTCACGAGTAGGAAAGCTACAAATTAACACATTAAAGTGAATTTATAGTGAGCTAACTGAAGCATTCAACATCAATTGCATATAAAATTTACTATGAAAATCCAGAAATATTTTATTTTTAGGGCAGGAATACATATGTTCAAGTCCCATTTTTCTGAAGAAGTCTACAGTCATGTTTCCATGAGTTAGCCACAAGGGTTTTTTTTTGTTTGTTTTGAGACAGAGTCTCACTATGTCACCCTGGGTAGAGTGCTGTGCCATCACAGCTCACAGCAACCTCAAACACTTGGGCTCAGGCGACTCTCTCTTGGCCTCAGCCTCCCAAGTAGCAGGGACTCCAGGCACCTGCTACAACACGCAGCTATTTGTTGGTTCTAGTTCTCATTGTTGTTTGGCAGGCCTGGGCTGGGTTCAAACCTGCCAGCTTTGGTGTATGTGGCTGACACCCTTGCTACTGAGCTACAGGTGCTGAGCCAGCCACAAGTTTCAAAAGGAAAAACATGCTGATGATTTGTGAGTGTTTTCAGAAGAATGTGAATTCATATAGTCTATCCCACAGAACTAAATTTCATAGTAAAAGAGAACTGAGTTCATTACCAATTGTTCTCAGAATAAGATTTTGCTGTGGCTGGGCTTCATAAATATAAACTGAAAGTTTTCTTAATTAAAAGCTGATTTAATGACATCCTCTGTGTCCACAGCAGAACACTGTAACCCACCTTGTCAACATGGTGGCATGTGCATGGCTGGAAATCTCTGCACTTGTCCTTACGGTCTTGTGGGACCAAGGTGTGAAACAAGTAAGCAAAGCTCCCTTGCTGTCTGATGTAATGAAACTTCTCCTTTGAATAGTCAATGGATTTGATGCTGTATGAAATGATTAAGGAACACACATTCAAGATTGATAATAATGATAGCATCTTGCATTGCACTGGGAACAACCACGGTGGCCAGTACTAACATAAACAAGTTTGTCCTCAGAAGTCCCTGTGAGGCTATCCATGATCTTTCTTTAAGATAATTGGAGTTCAAATTTGTTAAATTGTGTATAAATTTCTCATTTTTGTATATGATTGCTTTCATCAGTAACTAGTAATTTTCCAAAACAGCCAATTCTTATTTACCACTCAGCTGAATGGCTTTCTACTTTTCCCATTTCTATTGGCCAAAAAATAATTGAATGTGATCAAAGTGCAAAGTGTAAAGTATGTTTTATATTTCTCTCTGACTGTTCATTAGCAGATGTGACTGGGAGTGACGAGCTAGCTAGGTAATAACAAAAATAGGAGCATTCCAGGCTAATTTGCTTTTCTTCTATGTATATCCTGCGATAGTGGTTTGTAACAAGTACTGTGAAAATGGAGGTGCATGTCTTACCCCAGATGTCTGCCAGTGCAAACCCGGGTGGTATGGACCCACCTGTGGTACAGGTAAAATCAGAAATATTGTCAATGAAATATCAATTAATGTAAATTTAAAATGAGCTAATGTCTTGAACACTTGTACCTAAGAAACATAAAAATGACACACAAGACAGCTAAGAAGTTATTTTTTCAGACAGACTTTTAAAATTCTTTCATCTTCCCCTCTCCCCTTCCATCCCCCTCCACTTCTCTCCTTCATCCTGGGCTATAGTTATGATCTATTTTTCATAGGAAAGTGTGAGTCATTATAAATTGGTTTCATAAAAGTATTGCATACATTGGATACTTTTTCTTCCGTTAAACAGTGGGACCACACCTATGGAGCCTATTGCAAGGGCACAAGTCAAATCTATCAAGTATAGAATATAAATGTCTCGACACAATAATTAAGTATCACTTCTCGGCCTTTTGGCTAAGATCAAGTATAATAATTAAGTAAACAAGGGTGAAAGCTATATTAATTAGTTTGATGTAAGCACTCCAAATTGTAAAAAAAAAAAAACACATTGTACCCCACAAATGCATAAATGTATTCATGATCTATGTGTATATGACTTAATAAAAGGAAAAAAATAAATAAAATAAAAAGTCAAATTCACAGAGATAGAAAATAAAACAGTAGTTACCAGGGACAATAGGAAGGAAGAAATTGGAAGATATAGGTCAAAGGTTATAAATTTGCAGCTATATAAGGTGAATAAGCCTGGAGATCTAACGTGTAATCTAAGAATTATAGTTAATAAATTTGTATGTTATTTGTTTAAAAAGAAAAAAAACTTTCATCTTCATTCTTTTTCTTTTTATATTAAGCCATACCGTGTCTTAGAGCTTTCCTGTTATTTTATCTGGTACTTCTTTTTTGCCTTAATACTTCCCTCATCCGCCTACCTTATGATGGAGAGAAAAATACTTGTGTTCCATCTTCTAGGTTTAGTTTTAAGTATTTGATCTCAACACAGACATTCTATTTCATTAAACACCTAAGCAATTCTGAGTCAAGTGGACACCTATCATGTTATTCCAGTAATTTATCACAGTATCAGAATGGCTGCTTTGACAGCAATGTTTCCAATTATCTATGTTTAATCTATTCATTATGATAAGTAGTGTAATGACTTTTCTCAATGAAAATTTAACTCAACATTTATAGCTGGTTAACAATGTGTAGAGCATGATGCAAAGGGAAACAGGCCAGTTTGATTTCTGCCCTAATTTCAAGTAGCATATTGTTACTGATGAAGATATGGGATGCAATTATTATAAAAAAGACTGTGATGCCAGTCATGTAACTGAAGCACAGTTCCTCAGAAACAGAGAAAATAGAAATTAATTAATTCTGGAAGTAGACTTGGGATGAACACAGGATTGGTAGTAGACTTTGGTAAATGGGTAAAATCAATGGTGAAAAATGGAATTAGAAGTAGCTTTAAAAGCAAAACAAAGGCAAAGGCTCAAAACACCATGAATACTTTGAAGTGTTCTAGGACTTGAGGGCCCTGTTCCTATTTTAATTGGGAAGGAGATAAAGGGTTGTTCATGAACACATGTAGTTGAACAGATGACAGACCATCCTGTTCACACTGCTGACTCGTCTTCTCTTAACTTGTAATCATCCCTTTCAGCTTACTGAAGGCATCCTGAATTCTAATCATAGCTTCCAAATCCTCAGCTTGGTATTATTTGTAAACTTAATGAACACGCTTTCAAAGCAATTATCCAGTTATTTCATCCCTCTTATGTTTGGGAAAGTCTAATTAATTATACATTATGGGTTTTACTTGCAGTAAAAATAAAATATTTCATTGTGCCCCAGTTTGTATGTCTGTGCAGCTTTCATTTTTTAAATAATAAAACTTTTATGGTCTCTTTCCCTCCTGCTGTTCGCCAGCTTTGTGTGACCCTGTATGCCTCAATGGTGGTTTCTGTAATAAGCCAAACACTTGTCTCTGTCCAAATGGATTCTTTGGTGCACAGTGTCAGAATGGTAATTATCTTTCTTTGTGAATTAAAAGGGCGAGTGGAGTTACACATCAACTGTGCTCTGAGTACACACAAGACAAGTTTCAGAAGGGAAGATGCTATTTATTTTTTCTTCCATTGTTGTGATGTTGAGGATGTGCACATCAAATGACCAGTTCATACAAATACATCAAAGTCGTTATGTAAAATGATTATATGTATTCAACGTACATTAGGCTCACAGCCGTGGTGCTTAGCTGCTCAGTTTTGTGGGATCAAGATGTGAAATAAATAAGCAAAATTGTCTTGCAATCTATTATAATAAAATGGTGTCATTTTTATTTTTACCTCATAGTACAAATGTTAGATTTATGAGGAATCTACTGTCCAGTATTATCCCATTTTCTCTCTTTAATCTAATATTTATGAAGTCACTTAAGCATAGCACTATGAGAGATGACATGGGACATAAAGATGCATCATTTCCCCCCTTTGCGGCCCATTATTTTATCACCTTTCTTCATAGTTAATGTTACAGGTATTTTTCAGAATAATGGGAATGTCTTGAGGGTGGGAGTGTAGGTATAAATTGGTGCCAATATATAAAATTCAAAGTGCATTTTCTGCATCTTCATTTTTTTTTAGCTTATACAAAATATAGAGTAGATTTTTAGTATTGAACATGTCAGAATATCTCCATAATCTAATTCCTAAAATCTGTATTTTTCTTGGCCTGATACACTGATTTACAGTTCTGGGGTTTTTTTTTTTTTTTTTTTTTCTTTAATTTGGATGTTGACTACGATTCTTAGGATGAAACTGAAGCAGTTTGAGTGAAACTCATCACTCTAACACAGGATATATCAGCATAGGGAGTGGGTTCCTCTTATTCAGATTTCCTTTAAGGAACCAGTTTTCAAAATGGAAAGAAGTAAATACTAAGTAAACTCAAATCTTAAAACTAGAAGATTATAGGTAAATCCATGCAGAAGAAGTATAGGTGTAGTTATGGGTGTCTGATATGCTACCTAAAGTAGATGTAAGGTATAGTAAAAAAAAAAATTCTTCCCTCAAATATGTATTTGCCAACTGGATAAACAAGGCAATGTCTGAATTATTGAATTGAACTAAAAATGTTTAGTGAACACATGTCATGTTCTAAGAGCCCAGAAAACACAAGATATTAGTGGGAAGAGATCAGGTTTTGGAATTGGCTAGTTCGCTACACTTCCCTAGCTGGCATGGACTTTGACAATTTAAAGTCTCCAGGTCTCAGAGTTCCTGGCTTTCAAGTGTGGTACTTGCTGTGAGGTGTAATTCTTAACACGTCACACCCCCTTGTGAGCTCAAATGGTGGGAAGGGAAGATTGCACACATAGTGAAAGTGATTAAGGGAAATCAGGCAGAATATAGTTGAAAGTAAATATAAGGAACGTGTATTGTGCTCACTATAGAATTTCAAATGGGGAAGACAGAACTGAGCTAGAAACATCACAAAACTCTTAAACTACTCTATTAACAAACAAAGCTTAAATATATGACTGAAGAGATGTTTAAACATACCTTCCAGTGTCTTTAACCTCTTGAATTCCACAAGAAAGTTGAGCCCCAATTACTTGGCTAACTTTGGGTTTTGATAGGAAGCCATGGGAGGCCTATAGATTCTCATAAATCCACACGCAGTGTGGATTTTGTCTAACGTAGGATTCTCTTCCTAATGTAGGATTATGAGTGCACATAGCCAAACCTAAGTTTTATGTTATCTGTGTGTGTATTTGTGTGTAACTTTAATTATATGTGCTTTTTAATACAAATATAGTATTTATCTCTACATTCAATTCTTTGTAAATAATTATTCACATTTTCATGAATAATTTAATGGAGGTTTTTTTAGCTTTAAATTTCTTATATGCATTTTCTATGGTGTTATTGTAATGGAGAGAATATATATTTTCTTAGTAAGTAGAAATAATCTTAAATTTATAAAACACAAGGAAGAGAAAATGTAAGAGCATTTCTCCCCTGATAAAAAGTACCAATAAAGTGCCAGAGAATGAATGGTGGACTCAACCATGAACCAGAAAAATATCAGCCTAAAATCGTAGAAATTATGCATTTGCTAAGAGCAGTCAGTGATATTGTTTTTATACTTAAAGTGCTACATTATTTCCATTTAAAAGTCTATTTGAATTCAGTGGAATTTTTCTCACAGTGTTTGGAAGTAAAAAAGCAGCTATTAAAAATGGATCTAATTCAAATTGAGAGCCAATCCACAACAGCCCTGTTACAAATGCCAGTTAATTCAAGATTCATTTGTAAAATACAGACTGAAATCTATTTCATTATCTCTTAAGGAGACATTGAATTTAAAATTTTCCATACAGGTTTGCCTATGTATTTTGCAAAGTCTACCTTTAAACGTCCATATCTGGAGGAAGCATAAAGCAAGAATAATCCTCTTACAAAAAATAAATATTCACCTTGAATTTCATACTAGTAAAGTATTTGAAATTATCTAACCAGTATTCCTAACAAAGCCAAGGACCTATTATTAAAAAGATGTTTCACCAGACATTCACAGGACTATAGCACATATAAAGCTCTGCCCTCTCGACATCAATAGGTATTCAAAAGTTAAATTAAAAGTATATTTTAAATGTCTTATCATGAACTGATGAGATTTTTCTAATTTCCATAAGAACAGGTACATTTTTATTTAGAGCCGGGATTTAACTTATTTTCTTGATTTTGTCCAGATCATTTCACACTTTATTTCCTTGTACAGTGAAACATAAGATAAGGGTCCTAATATATGCACTGCAATACTGAAGACTCAATTTGTTATGAACAGTTCACCAATACATTTCAAGTTGTGCTAACCCACTAGCAGCCTATAGCTGTAAGCATTCTATTTTATGATGGAGACAGTTTTAATGACTTGCAGCAGTGATCTTTTATTTAAATAGCACATTCCTCTGCCTTACGTCCCCATAAATAACAAGCACATGATGTGATATATGAGGTGTAATAATTGAATATAGAATATTCACAGATTGCTGCCATGTGTTCTTTTAGCTTTCTGTCACCCTCCCTGTAAGAATGGTGGCCGCTGTATGAGAAATAATGAGTGCATCTGTCGTGAAGGATACACTGGCAGGAGATGCCAAAAAAGTAAGTACCACTAAATGTGTTTACCAACTGCAGGTAAAGCAAACACAAAACTGCTGCTAATATTTCCTGTTTTTACCCAAAGGCATCTGTGATCCTCTGTGCATGAACGGAGGAAAATGCGTGGGACCAAACATTTGCTCTTGTCCTTCCGGTTGGAGTGGGAGACGATGCACAACACGTAAGAGTAATACTTTTAAACTGCTAAGGCTTAACATCCTTCCTGGGAACATGAAACAGAATTTTAAACAGCCAGCGTTTATTTCTGCTTTGGAAGATACCTTTTTGGAAATAGAAACAGTAAAATGCAAAGTCCTCTGAACTTGTTCTTTCATGTAGGCAGAAGTGTATTGGATTTTTCAGTGTTTCTACTACACTTGCCAGGATAAATAACAAGGTTTACATCTCCTGATCTGAAGTTGGGGTCAGGGGAATGTTTAAGGCCACTTCTGGTTTTTTTGTCACCACCTCAAACCAACCAGTTCAGGCCTTTCCAACAGGGGGCGCCCGTGCCTTACACACTGATCAGTGTCTGAACCCGTGGCAGCCTTCAACCTGCAAATCTTCCCATTTTTTTTTCCTTTCTATAAATTATTTAAAATGAGCAGCTATTATAGGTTTTGATTAAAGTGAAAAATGAGAAGCAATGTAAATGTCCAACAACTGGGGAAAAGGTAAATCAAACAGTGGGACATTGTGCACCCATTAAAAGCACTTTTTCCAAGAATATGTAGTGACATTAGACAATGCCCTTGATAAAATGTTAAAGGAAACGATCTTTTAATCACTAACTTTTAGCTGTTTCTCTCTTTTTTCTTAATGAAAATTTTTTGGTTTATGATAAGATTTGACCGGTAACTAAAAATTTAACTTGTTTATATTGCTGTTGGCAGCTATCTGCTTCCAGAAATGTAAGAATGGCGGTGAGTGCGTTGCTCCCAACGTATGCCTTTGTCCTTCTGGCTGGGAAGGAGTGCTGTGTCAAATGCGTAAGTCCACAGTATTTTTTTCCTACTATATGTTCTGAATCTGAATCTGTTACACTAATAAAAGGAGAAACCCACATGGGAATAATTCTGTTAATGTTTTAAAAATGATTTTTAGAAATAAAGAGAAAACTAAAGTCAATTTTATATCATCTAAAAGATGAAAGTGTGATATAATATATTAATATTTTGTGTGACATAAAGACTTAAATTATGGCTTGTGAGTTACAAATAAAGTTCCCTCAGGCAAGCCAGAGAAAGTGTTAATATACAGAAATTTAAATGTCATTTCATATTATAACACAAATACATGTTTATCATAAAATTTTAGAAAATGTGGAAAAACATTTAAAAAGCAATTACTCCCAATTTTACCATGCAAAATTAATTTCTGATGCTTTTTTAGTATTTTAGTAAATTTCTATCCAGTTTTAGTAATAAATTTCTACACAGATGAATTTTCAGGGTACAGGTGAAAATCAAATATTATGCAATTTTGAAATTTTTATGAAGACTTGAAGTAACATGTTACAATATTAACAAACATTAACTTAATGGGAAAAATTAATTCCCTCAACATATTTTCAAATAATCCATAATTATATGAATTCAAATCTTATGGCCAAGTGTATTGTACACTGAAGTTACACAGTTATATAATGAACATGTGCTTTTACCCACATTTCAACTTGTTTCAAACTTGTTTCCATTCATTAGAAATTTTGCACATAAATTTTGTGACTCTTAGATCTTATTTGATTAGTAATTTATAACTTATACATCTGTTATCCTAGAAAAATAAATCAAAGTAGTATTAAATGCTAGTATTTGTATCAGAAAAGTGTGCTCAAAAATTAGTAATTCTGATTGGAAGTTATGTGTGATAAAATGCTAGGAAATGAGAGCTAAGCAACCTCAACTTGGGCTACTTGTTCTGGACTGAGATCTATGTGGGCCATGAGAGAGCATGATGAGAAAATATTAAAAGCACGTTAATGTGCAAATATGCTCCAAAAATGGTAGAAGGAGAGTGTCTGAGGCTATGCACCTTGTTTTGCACTCTGTGGCATTTTCATGTGAATTGGAAAAAAAATCATTCTTCCTCAAAATGCTTTATTTCCAACTATCAAGAAACTGTCACTAATACAGTGATGATGTTTCTTAGACAAGATATGTTACTGCCATCTGCTGGAAATAAATATTCAGATCTATTATATCTGTGATGTGACTGGTGCTTTATACAACCTACTGAACTGTATATAGCAGCCCTAATGTAAACAAACTCTGTCAATGCCTTATTTATATCAAAGATCTTAATCTTGAATTGTACAAATTTATAATGTGAGTATTGAAGCAGTATTTCCCCACGAAAAATAACTACATTATGCATAATTTTCTAGTATGCTCTTTTCACTCAATATTAAAAGAATGTATATTTCCATTAAAAATATAATTCTAAGCAATATATTAAATTCCATAATGTAAAATACTATAATTTCCTTGACCATTCTCCATATGTTGAGCATTTTAGTTATTTATGAATTATTAAGTATTTTGTGTTGTCTCTCTATAGGTAAATGATAAATGATAAATATTGGTAGGTAGATAGCTAATGAGATAGAAAGAGGTTTTTATAATTGTCTTAAGAGAGATTTCAAGGAAGAAATGTCTAGTGCAGACAGTGGGAATACCTTTCAAGTTTCTAATAGAGTTGTTTCACATTAAATGTCAAAGGGTAATACAAAAAATCAGTTTTTCCCATACATTAGGTCAGTATTGATTTGCCTCTTAAATTTTTACCAATTGTTAAAAAAGCAAATTATAAACATTATCTTCTGTCATAGATTTGAACTCCTCTAAAAACAAATAATACTTCAAGTACTTTTAAAGATAATCAATGAAATTTTTGTTTCCTTTAATGTTTGTAGAATTGGGAAAAATGTTTGAGTTTGGAGTATTTCATTTGTTGATGTATGTGTGTGTTCTGAAAGATGAAAATGCATAGATTAGATCTATAAATAAATGGTTCATTAGTAGATTATTATCACTACATTAGTGTCTAATCAAATAATTTTGGACACTGGAACAGCATATGGCACAAGCATTCCATATCAAAGGGCAATCATTGTAAAAATTTGTGTATTGCAGCAATTTGTGACAAAAAGTGTCTTTATGGAGGCCGCTGTGTATTTCCCAATGTGTGTTCTTGCCGTCCTGAGTATTCTGGAACCAGATGTGAAAAGAAAATACAGGTATTTTAAAATTTAAAGAGAAAATAAATACTAGATATTAGTATAAATACTAGACATCTGCATATCTCTTTGACTTGGTAAATTAACTTCTACTAACGGTTTATTTTATTTCCAAAATTTAAAAAAATCCTTTATTATTTTCCTCTAAAACTAAAAATAATACCATTTTAGTGTTATTGTAGTTTTATTATATAAAATTTAGATATGCACTTAAGGAATTTCAATATGTAGATACAGCTCTCCAGTGTGACGTAGTATTTTTTGACACAGGACATGAAATAGGAAATATTCCATAATATACATTAAGACATCACTAATTTATATTTTGATCAAAAGACTCTTCTCAACTGTCTCAAAAACCTTGCCACATTTACGTGAAGGAATCACTAACGACTTCACTGACTTGAGGGTGGCCCTCAACATTTTCAGTGAGCCGTGTGCCACAAAAGCCTTGTCTGTGTCCTGGTAGGATATCTTTCCCTTCCTTTGCACCCTTTTAAAATCCACTCCTGGGAAAGTAATACAAACTCTTGACATCGTTAGATGTAGGATTTGTTTGTATAATAAATATTTCAGAATTAAAGACCGAAAGGAAGACTAGAAGCTTTCTTAGCGTTTCTGAAATTGTCCTACACTTCCTTGTCAGGACAATGAATAGATGTAGAATACAGTGGACTCACCCTCTGGGGTTGACCACTTCCCTACATTGTCCACCTCTGTAAAATGACCTAGTGTTCTTAGACCAGACAAACACCACATGTACATATCAGTATGGACTTAGTTGCCTATTTTGACCACCTACGTATGTTGATCAGTTTGTTATAGGCCTTTGGGTGGCCAACTTACAGAGGTTTAACTGTATCTACTTAAAAATTTTCAGTGATCATATTTCTGCACGCACATGTAAGATTTAACTGCCTTTTGTTTGGTCTCTACTCTTAAATTTTCAACTACCAGCAGCCAGGTTTTTTTGTTTTGGGTGTTTTTTTTTTTTTGAAGTTTTTGGCTAGGGCCAGGTTTGAACCCTCCACCTCCAGTATATGAGGCTGGCACCCTACTTCTTTGAGCCACAGATGCCACCAAGCCAAGATATTTTTTTCAGGCCTAATTCCTAAACATACTGGGGTAGCTCTAAGATTGCATACACACTGCACAAATGCAGCAGACCTCTCAAGGATTTCTTAAAGTTAATCTGTGGGAGTTTTAATATAAAAATAACTATATACTGTTTAGCACTTCAGAGGGCCTAAGGGTCATGAATATCAAAGTTTGCTGGAGTAATATAATTTGAAAAATGATGATAAACTTTCTTCTGGAAGCTTAATAGTAGATCAGTCTGACTTAGAGGCAAAGTGCATGTATGAATGTTTTTCCTCCTGGCGCTAGTGTCCATCCTGGAAGGATAATGGCCCCATTATAAAAATAACAAGATCCTGAGGGCTATGCTTGGAAACTAGAAAGCAAAATTTTTCGAGTACTTATTCGACTAGATATTTATGAGAAAAATAAAAATAAATGCTTTAGTTTTCCTGGGTTTGAAGGCACCCTAAATATATACTATTTTAATTTTATTTGAGATTTTTATGGCACAGAAAACTTTATGTCCTTCAAAGCTTTTCAACTTCACTTTGACTGTATTAAATTAGATTTCTTCTCTATATTTTATTTTTATGTATTTATTTGCCATCTGAATCCTTCCTGGTGTAATCAATAGCAGATCATCTTTATTCTCATTAATGTTGCTTCTGAGACTGCATCTGGAGTACACTAAGGAAAAAAAGAACAGAAAGTCAGAAGGAAAAGGGCGATAGACAGGCCCGAGGACCACTGCCCTGCTGAATTATAACCTGCACTCCCGTGTCTTTAACTCCAGTTCTCACTCAGACTTTATTCTGTCGATCACTGGTGCCATTTTACTTGTTTTTGACATTTCTTTGACTCCTAAACACAGACTATAAAAGAAAAACAATTTTTTTACTTTCAGATTAATATAAGGATACCTGCTATTAAGGCACATGATTTGCATTTGTAAGGTAAAGTCTGACATGTAGTCGTGTCCTTCACCCAGGAGATGTTCCATATCCCTGTACACTGTACCCATTAGGTGGGAGCTTACTGAGTCCCCTTGCCCCTTCCCCTGTCCCCTCTTTTTCAATTTAATTAAGTTTTTATCTCATGTGGGCCTGTAGTTGTTCATCTATTAGTTTCAAATTAGTATTGAGTATATGGGATGCTTGCTTTTCCATTCTTTTTGTGTGTGCGTGTGTGTAGAAACAGTCTCATTTTATTGTCCTCAGTAGAGTGCCATGGCATCACACAGCTCACAGTAACCTCCAACTCCTGGGCTTAGGCAATTCTCTTGCCTCAGCCTCCTGAGTAGCTGGGACTACAGGTGCCCACTACAACGCCCAGCTATTTTTTTGTTGCAGTTTGTCAGGGACCAGGTTTGAACTTGTCACCCTCAGTATATGGGTCCGGCGCCTTACCCACTGAGCCACATGCACCGCCCACTTTTTTATTCTTGAAATACTTTACTAAGGAAAATGTTCTTCAACTCCATCCAGGTTACTACAAAAGATATAAAGTCTATATCATTTTTTATGGCTGAATACTATTCTGTGATGTACCTATACAACAGTTTACTAATCCATTTATGGGTTGATGGGTACTCAAGTTGTTTCTACATCTTTGCTGTTGTGAATTGAGATACTATAAACATTTGAGTGCAAATGTCTGGTCTAGAAACTTTTCTTTAGCAGGAAAAAAGTAGCCACCATCTGTGGATACTCACAGAACCTTCTCTAAGACATTCCTCATTTCCTGCTCCCCACCCCTGCCACCTTCCTCAAAGGAGAGAGTTCAGTCTGGATTAACACCCTCTGGCTTTTCCTCACCACCTTCTTGAGGGGTAGTGGCTGAAATAAAGCAACGGAGGATACTGACTGGATTGCTAGAATGTCACTGGAAAAGACAGAGAATTAGTGGCTAGAGATAAAGACACAGAGAAAGGGAGAAATGAACAAGGGAAGAAAGAGGTACTAACGGGAACAGGTTGATAAAAATCTTTGGCCAGCATCCTAACCTGCTACTAGCTACTGGGTGCACATACCCTTGACCCTGCCACTTGCTGGCTCTGTGACCCTCTGAGCCTCAGTTTCCTTGTTTGCAACATTGAGCTAATAATAGCACTTAAGCATACAGTTATTATAAGGATTAAATTTAGCAATACGTGTCAAGTATCTAGAATAGCGTATTGCACATAGCAAGCACTAGGTAAGAATTTATAATTATTTATTACACTGAATAAAGGAATAGAGAGAGATGGTGAAGGAAAATGATTGAGAATGAGACTTGAGAGAAATGGTGATGCACTGTGAATATTGATGTCTTTGTCTAAGGGACATTAGAATAAACCTTGATTAGTTTTCTTGGGCTTGAATGTTTCTTAATATAACCTTTTGCCGGGCAGCACCTGTGGCTCAGTGAGTAGGGCACTGACCCCATATACCGAGGGTGGCATGTTTGAACCTGATCCAACCAAACTGCAACAAAAAATAGCTGGGTATTATGGTGGGCGCCTGCAGTCCTAGCTGCTCAGGAGGCTGAGGCAAGAGAATCGCCTAAGCCCAGG